CTGGGTAATTTATTGCCTCTTTCTCTTTTTACTTTGCATTTCAGCAGACACATTTAAAAATGTGATCTCTCGCAGAGATTCGCGTTTTCAACCACACGTGGGAAAACGCCATGAAACACACATACACGTACGTACGAACATTCGCCAAAATACAAACTCTTTACGTTCACACACAAACACAAATGTTGGTGTCTTTGTCACTTGTAAATTTGTTGTTTAATACATATATTTGTTGATATATATCGGTCTTGTTTGTTTTTTTTACATCTTCGGCTGGACTCAACTTGAGTCCGCCATGTTCTTGTAGTTGAACTTTCTTTTAGCAGGAATAAGCGCATGTGTTACTAATTGAACAACACATAAACCCACAGTCGTCTACAATATGCTGTCTTTAATATATTTTCTTATTTGTGGACTGCCGAAAATTCCCGCCTTGGTTTAAATAGGAACTGTTGAAATAAGTACTTAGAATCTATGAAATTAAAAAAATGTGATAAAAAACTAGTTGCATAATGTGTAACTGAAAACAGACTCAGCGAGTATTGAGCTTTTTATGAATACTACAAAATCAAGACCTTATAGAGCAAAACCGAATAAAAATTCGTGCTCAGCGCACTCAAATTACATAGAACTGTCAAATTTAATTCAATAAACAACACACTGAAATTTATTTATCATTTCTCTTTTAATTAATAATTATTTTTTGCAATTAGATTTAAAAAAAAAAAAAGACATTCAGGATATTGTTTTTTTTTCTTTTTAATTAATTCCTCTTTTAAAGAAAGAGAAAAGCTATTCAAATCCATTCGAGGGGTTGACAACCCATCAAATATTTTTTGGTTACTTTATGCAATAATAACCCTAAAAATAATAATTAGAAATACCCGTGAAAAATTCAGTTTTTTGTTTGTTTTGTTAATCGTTTCTCCCCCAAGCAAGGCGATAATGACTCAGGAGGTTACAATGAGAAGACTTTAGCGGAGAGAATTGAGGACAATAAAGGAGCAGGTTTCAAGAAAACAGAAGATAGCGATTGACGTTACATTTAAATTTTTTGAATATTGCAGTAATCAGGGAAGCAAGAAATCAAACAAGAAATTATTACAATAGAAGTAGCGGTTGTATCTAGCTAGTTCAACAGTAAAATGCTGAGACCTAGTTGCCAATCAAGTAGTACGCTTTTTCATGTAGTTAAGGAACCAGGGAAAAAAGCGCACCAGAACACTTACCATGGACATATTTGTAGAAAAGCCAGAGGGAAGACATGTCACGTCGTTGAGAAAGTAACAGAAGTCGAGATGCTTGGCCAGGTTCGATTACATTACAGACTCTTCTTTAGATTTTGCCAAGAATCTTAAGATATACGGCAGGATCGCCAGAATAGATATGACAGCAGTATTCAATGCACGGGTGAATGGTAGATTTATAAATATGTAAGATGTATTCTGACGAGAAAAAAATGTCTGGCACGACACAGTGAACCAACTTTCCTAGCAGTAGACATGGTAATTGATTCGATATCGTCTTTCAGTTTCATGTCAGTGGAAAACGTGAGCCCTACAAGGTGTACAGTGTTACTTTCCTTGAGTTTAGCATCAGCCATGCCGATGGCAGGCAAAAAAGGTTCTCTGTGCTGATTAAATGAAAGCAGTTTTATTTTGGAGACATTAAATTTTACAAGACATTTCTTGTTCCACTTAATCACTGATTGGAGATTCTTTTCTAGAGCAGTTTACTGTCGGGTCTATAAGACTTGCTACTAAGACAGCAATACATTTTTTTCCTATTTGAAATTTTTGATGAATCTTAATTCTTAAGGATTGAATAAGCCCATGACGAGTTCTACGACAATGAAATAAATTCGCCTGTCGCATCGTTAAATATTTGAGCTTAACAACTTTAACAAAATATTGCAATAAAAATCATAAATATGAATGCTTGTCGCTATTTTAAGAAGTAAGAGGATACAAATGAAAAGATTTGAAATTGGCAACCTTTTTCTATTTCACAGAAAAAAGACATTAAACACATGAGATTGTTATTGTCTCTTCTTACATTCTTTATCTTACCGAAACCAAGCAGCGTCTCTGATATGTCTTTTCCGTCTTTCCACTACAGTCCATTACTTATGCGGTATTGGCAGGGTCTAACGTACGTACGCGCTAAGAACAATAATTATAGTAAATGTTATATATAATGCTACACCAGGCATGAATCTCGTGGCTTTTGCTTTTAATAGATTGGAGGTGTTAATTATACATGTTTTATCTTGGTGAATGAAGATGGATTACAATAAATGTCCCGTCACACATCTGCTTGTCATTTACCTGAAAATAATCAGTTGAACTTTTCTAGGGGATGACACACTGTATATCTGTGTTTATAAACAGGGGTAGTTGGAGACCATTATGGTCGGGTGTCAAGAGGTTTTTTTTTTTTAAGTTTGAAGGATGAGTCAGCCACGACTACTCGGAAGTTACTTCTGGATACTCAATCGGAGACTGTCTGAGCAAACTGCATTACCTGACCAGAAGGGATTTCTGAGATTCATCTGCAAGGGAATTCCCTACTTTATAAAGTTTTTCCAGTTGAAGTTAAGTTCCATAACGTTAAAGACGGACATACTTGAAGAAGAGATCCAAAGCAATCACTGTATTATGTTCGATGGGTTCAATGTACAGAAAAGAAAGGCTAGCAAATATAATTTATATTTGCGGATTTAACTGTTAGGAGAGCGGCCAAGGAACAAGTGGAATTCGCAGCTTCTGTTTTCCATTAACGTACGTACGCGCTAAGAACAATAATTATAGTAAATGTTATATATAATGCTACACCAGGCATGACTATCGTGGCTTTTGCTTTTAATAGATTGGAGGTGTTAATTATATATGTTTTATCTTGGTGAATGAAGATGGATTACTACAATAAACGTGTCGTCACTACGACTGTGACTTGCAAAAGAGGAAGGTTTCAGGATCGAGTTTAACCGGCTAGATGTAACCGTAAATTCTATGCTGACATGATCGAGTTTAACGCGTGGTCCCAAGAGGGGGTCCTTATTGAACAGTAGTTAACCAATCAGAGTCCTGGCTAGTAAGGGTTTCAAGTTCAAGGTTCAATGGTAGAAGGTTATCTCCCTTTATTATCCCTTTCAAATTCTTATAACTTTTAACAAAATCCGTCATCATATTGCGCTCATTGTCTGTGATGTGTCTTATATACATTTATGGGTTTCATGATTGGACTTCGTATAGTTGAACCCCAGCGTCATTGTGTTTGTGTCCCGCTCTCTCACTAACTAATAGTAATGCTATTTTTTAAATCAGTATCACCCCTTGAAAAGCAGTAATGCCACTAAAATACAAGGGGTTACAGGGTATGGAAGAATTAGCAACAGAAGCAATAATGCTGAGCAGAAAGAGAAGAGAGTAATCAGTAGGAGAGTAGATAATGATTGACATTGCATTTAAATTTTTGCAGATTAAAGTTGGTTGGAAAGCATGGAGCCGGATGGGATTTCCACAAGCAAGAAGTGCGAGAGAAGAAACTGTCAGCATAGAATTTACGGTTACATCTAGCCGGTTCAAGTGTAAATTGATAAAACCTGGAAGCGAGTCGAGTACTGCGCTTAAATAATAATAATAATAATAATAAAAAAACTCTAGGTACCATAGCGAAGAGCGATATTTATTTCCGCTTCAATACAGAAAATGTGGAAAAGGCCTAAAATAGGGAATAGGGAAAAGGACGGTCTTCTGTCTTAACGTTAAACTTAGCTAGCCACAAACACTGATCCAAACATACAGCAATCTTCCTTATCCCACAACAACGCATTCTTACTTACCTTTCTTACTACATCCCCCATAATACCTCATTGTCTCTATGAAATCCTTACTAGTCCTTTATGTACAATTCATAGCAAGGAAATCATGCGAACAGTTACCATGAAAGTATTTATAGAGAGGCAAACTTATCGCGATGGATAAGTGACTGAAGCCGAGCCAGATCAGGACCAACGATTTTTTTTATTTGCTCTGACAGTCGCACATAAAAACGTTAACGGAGAGGCATGAACAGAAATAAGGAAAAGGACGTGGAAATCCTTGCTTAACGCAATTTGTTTATATATTCTACAATGTAGCCTCTTTCTCTGTCTTTTTATTAATTCTTACGGCTTCCAGCACACCCATCAATTTTGATAGGTTAACATCGCTGGCTGTGCAACTGAATTAATTTAGTTACAAAGGGCCAATGATTCTGTTTCGTTCATGACATTCCGGTGTTCCAAAATTCAAGGCGAACTGGGCAGTCCATCCGGAGAAATGCAGTTATCACAGAACAGAACAGTTAGGACAGAATAGAAATGGTGATAATATTTATTTGTAATAAAATACAAAATGTGGCGCAAGGCCAAAAAGGGAAATGGGGAAAAGGACGGTCTTTAGCCACAAAAACTGGTCCAAACATACAACGATATTCCTTACAGTAAAACAATACATTCTTACTTACCTTTCTTACTACATCCACCATAAACCGCAATGACTCTATGAAAGTCCTTACTATTCCTTTATGTACAATTCATTTATCTATGGGGGAGGGGAATAAGATAACAAACCATAGAAAAGAACTCATCCGAACAATTACCATGAAAGTATTTATAAAAAAGACATAGAGAGGCAACGGCGTTGGGAAAGTAACTGAAGCCGAGCCGCCAGATCAGGATCAGTAATATTGCTGATGCTTTTTTGGATCTTATCAAGGAGCTCATGGTAAATAGCAGGGATAACGGACTATATGTGGCAGCAATATTCTAAGTATGGTCGAATGATAGACTTATAGATAAGTAAGGTAAATTCTGGAGAGAAAAATTGTCTTTATATTTTATAAGATATCTTCATACTAACTTAAAAAATAAAATATTTATATTAATATAGACAAGAACTCGTTAATAAAGTATGAATAATAACGAATAATAATGATGTATAACTTTTACAATTCAGATGAAACTATGGATACAGAAGAGTTGAATGAAAAAAGGCGTGACAGCAAATTGGATGAAACTGTGGTACGAGATGGAGGCTGGGCCTGGGTAATATGTTTTGCTGCCGTTGTCTGCAATTTCCTTATTTCGGGACTTAATACCGCATCTGGAATCCTTTTAGTGGGAATGCTGAACACATTTCAAGAGTCTGTGACCAAGACATCTATGGTTTTTGCAATGTTAAGTGGAGTGACAATGATGATAAGTATGTCTTTACTTTATATTATATATATTATATTAAATTATCATATATTAAATGTATTAATTATAATATATATATATATATATATATATATATATATATATATATATATATACAGAGTGAAGCAAAAATCGCTCAACATAGGAGTTAATGGATAGGTCGAAGAGGTCCTGCTGAGTGACCACCGAGATATCCAGACAGTACGACCATGGAAGTTTTTTTTTTTTTTGGCGGGTCCATTTGAAATCAGTTGTTTATCAGACGCGCCCAAGTAATATTGAGGATCTTAAAGAAAGAATTAAATATGAATGAAGTAAAATGACAGAGGAAACTCTTCGACGAGTTAATGAATCATGCAAGCACAGACATGAAATGTGTTTTGAAAAAGAAGGAAGAAATTCGGACAGCACATCTAACAAATAACTAGTAAATAAATTTTCATCTGTAATTATACATTTAATAAGTTATCCTTGTAGTGCACGACTTTTGCCTCACCCTGTATATATATATATATATATATATATATATATATATATATATATATATATATATATATATATATATTTATTTCATAACAATCGCATTGAATAAAACCATATTACTGATAGATACATTCAGGAAATATGATTGTAGATATAAAGCCAAAAATCATATGCATACATATATTTTTTATTACTTCAAATGTTATTTTTTTGTGGATACCCTTGTTTGAAATAGACAACCCGTTTTTATTTTAATTGGTGTGTATTGCGTCTTTTGACCTGGGCACTTGATAATAAAAACGAGGCGTCTATATCTAACATGAGTATTCACTAAAATAACGTTTGAAGTAATAACATTGTCGGACTAAAAATAAACCCATTAATTCTTTAGAAATTGCTGGTTTACGTTTCAGATACGAAACTGAGCTGATATAGGATTTAGAGAAAAATCTGAATGAGGTAGAAAAATGGAAAATGGAACTTGTGACTCTCTCTGTGGTCGAGCGGTTAAAAGCCTGTCGGAACAAACGGTGTTTTTTATGCAATTGGGGACGCAGGTTCGAATGCTGCCGAAGAGCACATTTACTTTAAGAGTGTTTGAGTGTGCAGACCGATAGATGTAACAGACACCGAAAATAAAGATGGGGCGTCTTTTTTAAATATGTGTATCGATCAAAATAACGTTGAAGTAATAAAACTGTCGAATTTATAACAATAATAATTCAGAAGCAGGCATATATAAAATAAATTACCAAAATTTTTCCTCATAGTGCATTGGGGAAACATGCAGAAAAAAGCTATCGATGAACTCAAAATGGACCTCATTAATAGCAATTCAATAAATGCACTAGTCATACACAGAAAATAAATTCGACCACAATTTTGATCGAACAAATGCCACGCTTATCAAAAGAGAAAGTAATTTATTCAGAAGGAAAATTCTCGAGAGTGCCGCCATCGAATGTTATCAAAATATTAATTTACGTCTCGATTTTTTTCCAACTTCCTGAAAGAATCACTACTTTTCTCAAGCAAACATACACAACGACAGATATGTTGAAAAATCAATAAAACGGTTAAGTCCATCACTTCAAGAGTCGATTAATTGTACAACCAATAAAAAGCTGAATAAATTTCAGACACATCTAAGGTTTTCCTAATATTTTGCCAAACACGTTTCTAGTATCTTTTGCATCATCCTAATTACTGCTATTAAAATAATACATGGCCTTTAAAATAACCGTCATAATTGTTATTTTCTTGTTTTTAAAGGTCCTCTGGTCAGTGGTTTTCTGTCTTTTTACAGTCACAGACAGATAATTATTGCTGGGTCATTGTTAGGATCATTTACTGTGTTTGCAAGTGCCTTTGTCTCTTCCATTGACCTTATGATTTTCACATTTGGATTTGTCGGAGGTAAATATACATTTTTACTTACTCTTTTTTCCTACAAAAAATCTATCTATCTATCTATCTATCTATCTATCTATCGTCACGTGCGCTAATGCAAAGCTCTTCAGTAAAATGAATTGGAGCACTCTGACTGATTGACATTCGTAAAAAACAATACACTAGAATTAGCTATTTCTCTCTGCCGAATGATGATAGCTTAATGGTAGAAAATTTGACTGACACCAAATCGGTCGGGTCTCGGTCCTAGCTTGAGGAATTCGGATGTCTAGTCGCACTGAGGAGCTGTGATACAGCGAAACAGTTCTTTATGGAATGATTATATATATATATATATATATATATATATATATATATATATATATATATAAAACGAAATATGGTCCACCTGTGCTACTCAGAATTTGTAAATTTAATAGGCCTGTTACTAAAATTTGAGGAATAAAAAGCTAACAACATAATAACAATACTGTCAATAAAATTGAGGATATTTGTTATATAATATATTAGCCTTTTGACTAAATTGAAGCAAGAAGAGAAATATTTTAAAGTCATAATTTTCGGACACGACTGTGTCCTTTTACAACGATATCGCATATTCAGAGATACAATAAATAAATTGGGGGGATTGGATCGCATAATTTTCTCTGGTTTTATACAAAATCCACCGGTAGCCTTCATGCACCGTGTGCTACTTAGGTGTTACTTAAGTAAAGTTGCACATGTAGATAATTTTCTTTAAGGTAGATTACCTATTTAAGAAGAATCATGCATGTAGATCACAGACTTAAGTAGCACTTATCTATAATATATATATATATATATATATATATATATATATATATATATGGATGGGTATTTTTTATTATTAAGTCTTCCATTATGTTTAGCCATTTTTTGTTGTTGCATGTGGATGAGTCTATTATAGTCATATGTCCCAGAAGTATGTTGATAGATATCTGTGTGTGTTTAAATAGGTCGTAATGGAGCTATGGTCTGAGATGTAAAGTGTGGATTCGTGGTAAGGATATAGTGGTATGTCCAATATAATTATTATTCATGAATTTGTTTTCGTAAGTGGCATGCACATTCATAAATAATGTTCGTCCGCCACATCCAATGCGTGTGTGTGTGGGTGTATATATATATATATATATATATATATATATATATATATATATATATGTATTTGTGTGTGAGTGTGCGTGTGTGTGCGCGCACGGTAAGCTAGCTTTACTCAAACCACTACATAATCACGTGAACCTCTATTGGAGAGAAGGTAAGCTTACTCAGGACATGGCAATGCTAAGATAATTACCCTGTATAAAAACCACCGCACTGACTGCAATAACTACCGGGGTATCTCCCTGTTAAAATTTGCCTGAGTGGTTTTAATGCAACTCAAAGTCCTTGCTGGTCGCATCTATCCAGAACACCAATGGAGATCCACAACTGATATGATCTCTCTACATCAGCTCCTCGACAAATGTGAAAAACAAATACATTACTGTACTGTACTGACTACTGTACTAATGCGGCATTCACCCTGGGCGGATTGAGCCGGCTTCTTCCCGTTATGAGAAGAAGATTCTTGGGATAAATTACAGAAGTAGGGTACCCAGGCCTACTCGAATAACGTTCTTGCTTGCCGCGGGGTTCCCACAGACGCAGAGACAGGAACGACCAGAAGCAGCCGGTTACCGATGCAGACGCTCCTTGGATTTTCACCAGAGCCCTTGTTAGCCGGCGTGTGTGTCAGACCTGTCCGCCTTGGGTGGCCCTACCAGGAACAAAGTTCCGGGCGGCATAGCTCTGACACTACCGTTTACACCCCCCCACCGACTGTGAGGTAAGGGTTGGACTTTGGGGGCTTACAGTATCAGGTGTTCCCAAGCGGTCCCCCATCTAAGTACTGACCTGGCTCTACGATGCTTAACTTCGGTGATCGAACGAGAACCGGTGTTAATACAATACCTTCGTCTGAAAAGCGTTCGACTTTGTTAGTAGGAAAAGTCTGTTTCAGTTACTAATTAGCTTAGCGCCATCACTTTCTTACCCGGGAACATGCAGTCAGCTATGACAGTGAAATTTCAATGCCTTTCACTATTCATAATTGCGTTAAACAAAAATGTTTTGTTTGGCATCTACTTTTCCATGTTATTGAGCTTTTCGTTCAGAAACCGAAGCGGCTAGCACCATGCTGTTAAGTGAGGACTCACAGAGGTCGTGAAAATCTCCAACTGTTGGAAATGAGAACGAAGGAAGAAGAGAGAGAAATGTCAGACCTCCATTACACATTTCAGCTTCGTCTGCAGAAGAGAGTGCCATGCAAGGATGGACCTCTTAAACCACTTCTTACGCAGCTCGCAAAAGGACAAAGTTTGACCAAAAAGGGTGCAACCATTATCTCGCTAGATAAATATGCCTACTCTCTCTCTCTCTCTCTCTCTCTCTCTCTATATATATATATATATATATATATATATATATATATATACCCTAGTCGCAAGTCACCAATCTGACACTGAGTGGCATGCCACTAGCGTTTATTGCTGGTAGCCCGCTGTCGGACAACCGACATGTTCGTCTTGGCAATGTTACCACTGGCAGACCGCTAGAGGCCCACCGGTGACTGCCACCAGAGGAACACTTCTATTATTTTTAATTATTCCACTTTGTAGATGTTTATCCGTCTCCCCGACTGCGTCGTGATTTGACACAATGTCGGGTTTAATGTGGGACACCCTAACGCATGGCCCAGCTGCCGAAACCGTCGGTTGTGATGGCATCGGTATTACTACCGATCCCCTATTTCTAGTGCAATGTGCTGGTACTACCATGGGAAGCTGTTTCCCGGAACCGGGTACCTCTCAGTGTTTTTTCACAGCTGCGTCTATGTCTGCGGACAGAGATTATATTACATTACCTGTGTCTAAACAAGGTAAGGGTAGATTTTAATGCGCCTACGTCGAATGTGACACAAGGCTAGTTTAAGGTGGGCTTAACGGCAATATCTTGAAAAATTATCCAAGTCCTTTTCCGAGCAATAAACCCAGCCCCCTCCTGAAGGAGTGGTACTGTCTCAGGGGAAGAAGGGCTTAGGCTTAATATTTTTTAAAAACTTCCACGTATAGTCATTCACCTAAACAAGGTAAGTACCCCACTGTATTATTTATCGTAATGTAATGAAAGAAGATACATGGTATTTATCCCAGAAGTAATTATGATCAAACCATCAGTCTGGTTATTTACCTATATTGATGACCACTTGGGAATACCAGGTGCTGTATGTTTGGATGTAATGTGGTGGTGTATGTGGTGTATGTGGTGTAATGTATAACGGCTGGGAATTGTTAATTGGAGATCCGAGTTCCATTTCTAGTTGGATCTGTTATATTCACTTACGCACAAATACCATTGGGAAAGGTATGGATCCACCTCCTCTCTCTCCATCTGGGCTAATTAGTAAATTAACCTATAGCGAGAGAGAGAGAGAGAGAGAGAGAGAGAGAGAGAGAGAGGAGCTGGATTCATCACTCAATCATTATTATCTCAAAAAAAATTCTTACAATGTAAAAAATTATTATGTTCACAGCTATAGTAAATAAAAGAGTAATTTAAAAAAATGAATATTAAAACAACAAAGTAAATTTTATAGAAAAAGGACATTAAATAAAGTTATTTAAACCGTTCTTTTTTACTTTTTAATTCTGCTGATACTTTCGAATTGATATACATGTAAGTATTTTTAAAATTTCTATTCTCTTGAATTTATTTTCACATTCATAGTAAATAAATGTATAACTTAAAAAAATGAATATTAAAACATCAAAGTAAATTTAAAAGAAGAATATTAAATACAATTATTTGATACAATTATTTGATAAAAAGTTTAATATTTATTTATTCAAATATTCGAGTGTGTGTGTGTGTCCGGCTAAAACTAAAAAAAAAAAAACTACAATAATTTATGACAAATAAATATATATACAGACTCAGTATCACCTTTGTAGTGGACCCCCTGGAGGGCATGGTATAATTTGGCATAAACATCCAAATAAGGCATAGAGGTCATGGGAAGTCCACTAACATTTTAAAATAAATGACGCGAAACTGACAGGTCAAAAAGAGGACAACAAATGACAACTTAAAATTAATACAAAATTTATTTACATTTGGATAAAGTAGAGATTCATTCAAAGGAACATGAGTAAAACAAGAATCAAATAATGAAGGAAGAATTGAGAAAAATTGAGGAAAACTGGCCGGTTAAAAGATATTGATATTATATCTGTGACTAAATGTTACAAGTATGGTGAAACTTCCGTAGTATTTTAACTGAAGTGTACGGAGTAGGTTATTTGAAGTCTGAACGATATAGCCAAGGAAAAAGTTCAGTTTAAATGTCTGGTGCTGGCGTTGCATAGTTGCTGGTCAAATTCAGTAGTGAAACTTCCATAGTGTTTTAACCAATGTATACGGAGTAAGTTATTTGAAAGTCTGAATGATATAGCCAAGGAGAAAAATCAGGAGGTGAAAGAGAATGAAAAGACCTTAAAAGGAACTAGAAACATGATCCTAAACAGGGATAAATCTCTCCTCCTGTTCAGAAGACCAGGGGTTAGTGTGAAGCTATCTACTCCTGCTGGAACCATTTGCAGTTTATATAAGTTTGCGAGTAATATTTTCTAACTTCCAACCAAATAGAGAGTATTCCTGACAGTTTTAATTTATTTACCATTTTATTCCCTCTTGTTTAAGTTACTTTGAAGATCCTACTTCATACACTTTACTGCTAGTCATAAAAAAACACTTCAGACTAAGATAAAACTATTTAGGGTTCACTTGACTTCATGTATGTTTTAAGAACATCATGTCACAAATAGATGTATTGGTTTTGTGTACGTGGTTACCAGGTGATTGTGATTTGAATTCATAAATCTAACAGGGAAATCAAACACCCTAGTACAAGTTAAAAGTACAAAAATGAAATCACAAGGAAACCTGAACAAGGGAATGAGAAAATTTCAACCCTGTTCTCAACCAAAAGGAATTCCATAACTCCCATGGATAATTTCAAGGTTTCAAGGGAATATTTTACTTTTGTCTTTTATTTGAAGAATTTTGTTTACTGAATTACAATACCCTGGCATTGTATTGAACTTTTTATTTATTGAAGTATGCTCCAGTTTATTTATTTAATAGTTAGTTATGAAGTAATTTAGTTATGAATCAAATTACTGTACATGTATTCAAGTTTTAAAATCCATCAACATTTTCTATTGCTATTGAATCTGTAAAACTTTTCTACAAAAATAATCTATGTAAATGTATATGCCCTAATATTAAAAAAAATGAAAACTTTCAATAAATAGAGCATATTATTTAGAATGCACTTTTGAGTTGGACAGTCTTGGACAGGAAGAAGATGATGTTCTAACTTATAGTGAAAAGGGTTCATTGGGCAAAAATGGTGGAGAACAACTGGAATAAATGACTTGGTTTGAAATTGCCAAAAGTTACCAGATAAAGCAGAACCCCAAAGAAAGCTGATGTAATTACAAAAACATTGTAATTATATTAATTAAATTGAGGAATTTAAATTGTAGAGGTACAGTGGAGTAGTGGTTAGTAGCATGGATTGAGAAATTGGAGAGCCGAGATCAAATTCCATTTGAGTTCATTACATTAAATTATGTGCTAATACTCTTGGGAAAGGTATGAATCCATCTGTTCTACAAAAAAAAAATGAAAAAATACACTTCAGACTAAGATAGAACTATTTAATGACATTGTGTGTGTTCTAATAACACAATAAAACAGCAGTCTATGTCCTATATGTCTAGGAGAATGACAACTCTACATTCAAAATCATATGTAGCTCTAACGAATCATATATTATGCAGCTAATGAAAGGATTATGGATGTTACAATGACTCTATGATCCCAACTGTGGTGCAGTATGTGTGTGTGTGTGTGTGTGTGTGTGTGATTGTAAACCTTGTTCATTATATATATGTTATATTATAATTTATGTCTGAATTTTCTAGATGAAGATTATTATGCCTTACTTTTCAGACCAGCATGATCTTCTTCGTTAACTGAAAGTAGCATATCAAGTGAGGACTTCACAAAACATTTCAAGTCATTTAACATTTGTGCTACTTTCAGAGAATGTTACTGTGCATGAAGAAAATCTTGCTACAGCATTGTGGACATAACACTGAATATGTGCATGCTGCTCTAAATAAGTAAAATTCCTCATCTGATATGATGAAAAATTTTCTGGCAAAAATTAAAAAATATGTTTATATAAAAATAAGATAAGAACTACTGTCTGAATAAATCTTTGTATAATGATAATACCTCATCTAAAAACAAATCATATTGCAATTGTCTTCTACCTATATTTATTGATTAGGTTGTTACATAAATTTGTTTGTTTTTTATAATTTAATACTTATTATTTATTAGTAGTTCTGATGAACAATATTTAACAATATATTCTACTTTATTTTTTATGAACTCCTACCAATGATTCACTAACTGTTCAATACCTTGCTGATAGAAATCACTAGATTTTAAATAAAAAAATAATTAAGCCACATTTTAAGCTCCACATCATTGTTGAATGAAACACCCTTCAAATTGTTAGAAAGCAACCAAAAAAGTGGTAGTATGAAGGGGCTAAATAAGGAGATTATGATGAGTGTAGAACTTCCCAACCATGCTTATTCTCTGTATCCACGGGTAGCCAGGTGACGAGCAAGTAAACTGGTGGCAATGAGGGTGCACTGGAGTTTGTTTCTCTCAGTCATTGGGTGTAGCACACATGTGGTGTGTTTCTGGAAACTTACCCATTGAGTGAAGATAATGAGATGCAGGAGCATGAGAGATTGCTATTTTCTGGACCAATTCCCAGGTTGTCTAGCATGATTCTTCTTTAATCAATGCCTGCAACTGGTTCTCATCAAACTGAACAGGTTGGCCAGAATGCAGAGAGTCTGTGAGTTTGAACTTCCTGTCCTTGATATAGGAAAACCATTTCTATGCCATTCTGTCAATAATGAAGTCACCTCTGTACAGAGCACAAATATCTAAAGCAGCTTTTATGTCCTTGATTAAAAGCAAGAAGATGATGTTGAACATGTTCATTCTTGTCTACTTGGCATTCCATCTAAATGGAATGTCTAATTTGAAATAAAATTTCAATAATGTGAGACAACAATTTCATGGGATGACCAGAATTACTAAGAAGCAAAATATGCTATGAAAGATTATTCTTTGAGATCATTTGCAGAACATTAGAAAAAAAAGAAGGAATATATGTAACAACCTAATATTACTGCAATTAAGTAATGACATTGATTCAAACTAATTAACTTTTTTCTCCTATTTTTTTTAGGTTGTTCTTTGGGGATGATCATTTTTGCAGTTAATGTTATTGTAGGCTTATACTTCAAAAAGAAACGAGGTCTTGCTGTTGGTTTAGCCAATGCAGGAGCTGGCATGGGTACATTTATCTTTAATTTTGGAATTGAAAAATTAATTGAATTCTATGCTCTAAGAGGAATGCTTATCTTACTATCAGGATTCATACTGAACCTTGTTGTTTTTGGAGCCCTGTGCAGGCCACTCAAACAAATAAATATATCATCAAAGAAGCAGAATACATTTGGTAAGTATGGTTACAATGAAACAACAGTTGCAATGGAACTGTTATTACAAAATTGTTTCAAATATAACACTTATATCCTAATCATTAAATCTAAAGAATTCACAGAGTTGTTTACAAAGGATATTTTCACATGTTTTGAGAAATATTTAATAGTGACAGTAATGGAAATATTTGCCGTTTCCTTATAAGGAAACATTTGGCATTCATTGACTGAGCAGCCAGTACTGCTTTCAGTTTGAATTTATAAAATCTTTCACTTAAAACAATTTTTCAGGGAAATAGGTTCTTTAAGTCTAGTAGCTGTTATCACCATTTCTAGTATTGTGAGTTTCCTTCTTAACATTTTATTTGAAGTCGTGTGGAATATCAAAATCTTGATCAAGTCATTATTTTCTCTTTGAGTTTCATGTGCTATCCATTTTAATTGGTACAGTTTTTTTTTCTGATTCTGTAGTTCTAGCCCATAAGAAAGAAATATTATAACTTCTATGATAATACTAAGCTGTTTCCTTATTAGGAAACATTTGGCATTCATTGACCGAGCAGCCAGGACTGCTTTCAATTGGAATTTATAAAATCTTTCTCTTAAAATAATTTTTCAGGAAAATAGGTTACTCAAGTCTAGTAGTGGTTATTGCCATTTCCAGTATTGATGGAATTTTCCTTCCTAACCTTTTATTTGAAGTCGTGTGGAGTCTTAACATCTTGATGATATCATTATTTTCTCTTTGAGTTACATATGCTATCCATTTTAGTTGCTGCTGATGTGGTTTCTGTTATTTGGTACAGACCTTGGGGAATCTGAAGCATCAGTCCATAATATTCAATCATAAAAAACTAAATATTAAAATAATTTTTATTCATAAATTTATAAACATTTACTAAATTATTTAAATAAGATAAGTCAACTATAAAGAAATTCTTATTTACCATTTTATAAAATTCAAATCAATCGGCAATTAGCCGATGCTTTGCCAACCATTCCACCAAACAATATAATAAATGAATTAATAATTTAATGAATAAATAGTTTTATTATTTTTGTTATCAATTCTCAAGACTAAAGATAATGTATAAATTTGCTTTGATATATTTAGGTTTTATTACAATTCTAGTCATCACTTTTTAAAACAATAAACATTGCTGAGGCATGAAGTAAGTTGAAATAATATTAGTGTCAATGGAAAAATAAAAATATTTGTAGTATCTGATTAATGAATCTTTCAATATTAAATAGTATTTCTTCATTGAATATTTAGGTACTATGTTTTTATTGAATATTTCAGTACTTTGTCATTGAAAGATTTGGTAGCATTTGAAACTTTTTGTGGTAAGTTTATTGGGATATTTTGCTAGTAGCTGATCATTTCATATTTAGGTATTAATTGAGTCTATTGATAGCATGTACTATTTTATTCATTTGGTAATATTTGCTATTTGAAACTTTTGGTAGTATTTCATATATGAGTCTCTTGCTAGTAATTATGGTCTTTCTTGTTATGTTCCATAGATCAATGCTTAAAAATCAGAGTATTTCTTTCATGATTGTATTTAATTTTCAGTTTGACAGAATATCATGTATTAAATGTAACAGAATTAAATTGTTAATTCATCATAAAACTGCTGTATCTTACACACACACAAGAGAGAATCATTCCCATTAACTTTGTATTTCTATAATAAGAGATAAGTTCCATTCAGATAGAGTTTGGAACCAGGCTGTTTATTTCTCCAATCACTACAATCTTGACTTCTAGAGTTAACCATTATCCTTCCTGCATAACCCCATGAACTTCATTCCTTACTTTTCCTTACCCTTATACAACACTACATAGTTACATTCTAGCTTGAGTGACTCCTAGACCTTATATTGGTTGAATATTAGTATAAAAAAGAAAAAAAAAAGGTCTCAGTGTTTCTCACCCCAATTGTGATCAAATATACAAAATCTTTTGGGAGTATTGCACCACCTCCTTGTCTATGCTCTTTTATTTGCATATATATATATATATATATATATATATATATATATATATATATATATATATATATATATATATATATAGATATGGTATCAAATGACAATTGGAAAAAATCTTACATTTTGCTGACGCGTTTCATCTTCCGACATTTTCAAGGCAAAAAATGAAATCGAAATGTTTTTTGTTGTTATAGTTACATTAAAAATCCAAATTTAAAAAGATAGACGCTTCTGTCTAAGCCTTTTTTCTGGTTAATGTAAATTATTTTTTATAGTAATCTGTCTTGTCTGGGAATTTAACTATATATATATATATATATATATATATATATATATATATATTTATGTATATGTATATATATATATATATATGTATATATATATATATATATATATATATATATATGTATATATATATATATATATATATATATATATTTATATGTATATATATATGTATATTTATATGTATATATATATATATATATATATATATATATATATATATATATGTATGTATATATATATATGTATATATGTATGTGTATATATATATATGTATATATGTATGTATATATATATATATATATGTATGTATATATATATATATGTATATATGTATGTATATATATATGTATGTATATATATATATATATGTATATATGTATGTATATATATATATATATATATGTATATATATATATATATATATATATATATATATATATATATATATATATATATATATATATATATATATATATATATATATATATATATATATATATCACACACACACAGACACACGTGTGGGTGTGTGTGGGTGTGTGTGTGTGTGTAAAATTAAATAAGGCAGGTAATGAAATTTGAACACAGCAAAATGACACCAATATCAAAAGAATTGATACTTGTTTCATACAAATCTTTTCACTGAAACAAAGCACTACAAGATAAATTTTAAAGTTGGAATTTTGGACACATCTGTGTTCTTTTTTCAACAATATATATATATATATATATATATATATATATATATATATATATATATATATATATAATAAAGAAACATGTATATATACACATAAATAAATTTATCTAATTGTTTATTCAAATCTTTATCACTGAAAGTCTCACAACAAAATGAAGAAAATGATTTAGACCCAACAGCCATTGCGGAGCAGATTGATGATGAAAGAGAGGACATGCTCAAAAAGTACCAAGCAGAGTCTTCCATAAAGAAGGTAAGGGATATTTTGATAGATGATGGAATGGAAAGTTTTGAATGGTCAGGCTATAATTGTTTAAGAAAATGTAAAAAAAAAAAAAAAAATTAATAATATGTATGAAAAATGAAAAATGAAATATCAAATAAAAATAATACTTGAAAAGTGAGGAAAAAATGAAAAAAATATTTGAAAAATAAAAAAATGAATAAATACTCAAAAATAAAATAAACATATGAAAACTGAAAGTGGAAAAATCTCGAAAAATAAAAATGATAATGAAAAAATACTGTGGAAAATCCTGAAACAATCCTGAAAAATGTCCTACTGATTCTAAGTCTGAGAGTGGGTCAAGGCAATGCATGCCCTAGGTGCCGCCAAACATTCACTTAACTAGGTGGAATCGTGAGGATTGATTGCCAGCTATTCTGAGAGAAATTTCAGAGAGAATCAGCTACTAGACAGATAGATTGGTCTTTTTCTCTACACCCAAAAAATAAAAAAAATGACTTGGAAAAATAAAAAAAATGAAGAAAAAAAAAACTCTTGAAAAACAAAAAAGAAATAACAGAAAAATTTAAAAAAATGATAAAAAAAAATAATCTGAAAATAAAACAACACTGAAAATGAAAAAAAAAATGAGAAAAAAGAAAAACCTGAAAAATGAACAAAAAAACCTTGGAAAAGAAAAATAATGAAAAAAGAAAATGTTGATTGAAAGGGACCAGTGGCAGGAAAAGGATTACTTTATTAGCTCAAGCTCCAAATCCAAATTGGCCTACTCACTCTTGTTGGACTAACCCTCTCCCTGACTGACCATTTCTTCAGTGGGGTAGTCATACTCATCATGTTTCGCCAACTGCTGGTTCGTGAGTTTATTTAATTCCTAGTTGGAAGTACTGAATTCAGAGTTATCTTTCTCCTATACCAGTTAGCACTCAAGACTATTGGCCCAGTCTGTTCTGTTATTTAACCCACAGCTGGGGGAGAAGAGATGGATTCATATCTTTTCAAAGGGTATTTTCATATGAGTGAATGTAATGAAATTGACTTAGAATTCAGCTCACCGATTCCTCAATCAGCCAATTATCCTTTCTAATATATATATAAAAAAAAGAGGCTGCTAATAGTTACAAATTGGATAACACAATGTCTTTTTCAACTGGAGTTTATATCTATTCCTCAGTCCTTTGATATCATCATCTGATGAATTAATTCTACTCTCATTGCATTAATGTTTTTTTAGGCTCATAACCAAAAAGTTTATTCACAAATAAATGAGATGTCATTTTAATAAAGATCTGGTGGCACAGTAAGAAATTTTTTATTTTTTTAATTTTTTACTCAGTACAAGATTTAAGATCCACTCAAGGTAGAGATTACTAAATAAGGTTTTGTAAGACCATATAGAGAGTGATCATTTAATATGAGGATATGTAGGATGGATAATGGTTGACTCTTGATATTACGAAGAAGAATCTCCATGTTAGGATTTCAAAACTGTGTCTATCTTGAGGGTCATCATTAGATGAAGGTACTTTCAACACGACAATTATTGTTTATACTACTTCATGTAAAGTTTTCAGTTATGTTAATGATAATATTAACTGTTTCCTTATAAATGAAACTGGAGGCATTTTTCAACTGAAAGCAACTAGTGCTGTTTTTAGTTGGAATCTGTAAAATCTTTCTATTGAAACAATTAAAAAACAAAGGAAATAGTTTCTTCAAGTCCAGTTACTGTTATTTCTCTTTCTAGTATTGATGGGGGCTTCCTTCCTTGCTTTTTGTTTGGGGTAGCGGGGAACTTCAGAATTTTGATGATGCTATTAGTCTCCCTTTCAGTTACATGTGCTACCCATTTTAGTTGTTGCTGCTGTTGAAAGTTCTCAAATGATGTGGTTTCTCTTATGTTGTACAATTCCCTGTTTGTGATTCTGTAGCACCAGCCCATGTGGCTTGAAGAAAAACGGTCCTTACTGAGATCTATATGCTACACTCACAAAACCATTTTTAACCATTGATTTGAGAAAGTGATTGTATACAGCTGGCAGTTTAGATATTTCTGGATGGGTATGGAGCCATGCATGATACTATATGAAAGTCTTGATCTGACAAGACTATCTAAAAACTAGACTTGAGTTTTTAGGTCAATATTTTTTTCATAGCAACTTGCAGTGTTGCATAAAACTAACTCTAGTACAGCATATTCTATGTTCAATTTTCTTATTTTATAAACTAAATTTGATAAAGCTGGTCTGTACAACAAGGTATTTCAAGTGTTTAGTATTAACAATTCCACATCCTGAATTTTTATGATGGATTCAGGGTATGTGCCATCACTGCTTCCATTTCAATTCTGGATTAGAGTTTCTTGGGTCCTGTTTCTTGGATGGAGGATGTTGATTTTCTATTCATGATCATTCTTATCCTAACAATAAATATTTATGTCATTGGTATAGCTCTTCTCATCCTCTGTACATTGGCCTTTGGAGGGGAATCAGGGATACTGTTTTCTAATAGTATATTATTTGTAATACTGTATAGAATGGTTAAGAGATTGGTTCCCATCTCTTCATATCTGTACTTGTATACATGCAGGATATATTCTAGGAAGAGATTAAATAGACTGGGGCTCTTATTTCCTCCTTGTTATACTCCTTATGATGTTTAGAATGTTGGGGTCTTTTCCAGACATGTACAATATTATGGACTTGTATAGTTCCTCTATCAAATCTAGACTGCCAGTGGTGTCTAAGTTTGGAAAGCAGTTTCTTATGGATGAGAAGAAATCTTTACTGAACTTGTCATATACTGCTGTGAGGTTGACATAGCTAGTATGCAATTTTCTGGAGTTTTTGATATATATGCCATTATTACACTCCTTATAAAAACAAAAGTCAAATTGGGTTGTGAAGAGTTGAATTTGTGGTTACTTATGAATGTGTTGGGATTTGTCTACCCAGGTTTTTCTTATCTGATTGTCAGGATTCAAATCATTAAATAACAACACACATCTTTTAAATGAGACATAAAAAATATTATTTACTTAAGGAAAAGTAGAAGTTGGACATTGATTAAAATAACATTTATATATTCTTTTCAGAAATATACAATAACAATAAAATGTTCAATTTTCCTTCCAGTGAAATTATAATGTGAAATGTGTGCACAGACTTACTTTATGATGATCAGCGTAATGTGTTTGTGAGTTCATAGATAAAGCTTTAGTTGGTGGCTGCTGGATTTCACCTCTCCATTGTGTGCATGGCTGTGTGATCAAACTGCATGCATTGATCAAACTGCCCTCCAAAATTGTTTTGAGCCTCAAGAAGCAGTAGGCTTCTATTTTAATATCTGTAAGGGGATTGAAATGGCCATTTTAGAAGAAGAGATGGACAAACAAATGGACTAATGTTAGTCAGTGAATTTTTTTTATAGATTCTGTTGTACTTGATCAATAAATTCTGAAATTAGATACAGTAAGTCACTGATGTATGCATAACTCAAATACTATCTTCTGATGTATGCATAACTCAAATACTATCTTCTGTTTCTTTTTACTTGGAGTATTCAAAAGATCATGCAGTATTATCACATTTCCGAAAGTGTCCTCACATGGCAGATTATTTCATTTGGAGATGGCAGAAACATTTCTCCCAAATATTTATTCCAGAAATTAATCAATTTATCTTTTTAATTCGAATGTGGGGGCAATGAAAATGAAGCTTATTTACATTGTTTGTGGCAACTGCATGGCCAAGCTTTTACTCATGATGCCCTGAATACATGAATTTAAGCATGTTACTAGATTAGCATTTATGTCCCACCTACTTACTCTTGAAATAGCTAAATGCAACCGCCACTTCTACCCCAAAGGTCTTTTCTCGCACTTCCCGCCTGTGAAAATCTCTTCCATTTTAATGCTTCCCTGATAACTACAATTATCAAAAAAATTTAAATGCAACATTAATTGCCTTCTCCTATCTTCTTGAATCCTGTTCATCTTTTGTCCTTTCCCCAATCCTCCTTATAGTCGGTTCCAATTTAACTACCTGTAACCCACGTGTAGAAGTGGCATTCCCACTTTGCTTTGGGGGGGGGTTGAAATGATTAAAAAAAACTTCGGACTGTTATCCCCATCAGAAAATTTCAACTGTTCTGTCATCTGGCGTTGATCAGGTGCTTGTAGGTCTGGGTAACTCTCAAGGAATTTCATTTATTTAATATTGTTCTCATTCTTCTGACCATCTCATCTAGATCTTATTTAGTATTGCTCAGATATTGCTTACCCCCTTCCCACTGAGTCAAAATTTGCACTACCTGGACCAAGGATTGAACTCACAATTCATGAACTAGACTTTAATCTACTAGGCTAATGTTCCATGCGATAATAAAACAGTCCTAAATAAGAACAAGATGAGATATCCCTAGACATGGTCAACAGAATGAGAACAACCTAAGCTGTAGATTAAATAAAGTGTTCAGTTTGAAATTACCTAAAGGTTAAATAGACTGGCATGCACTTTATGAAGCTCAGACAGCACAAGGACAAAATGTGATAATAACAACAAGGATAAGGACAATAGTCTGCATGTAAATAATGATAAATCCTCATCGTAGAAATTCAGACAGAAAATTAAGGTATTCTGTTAAAGCCGAAAACCTATGAATACATACAAAATTCTATGCTTTAAATGTTATTTTCTTTAGTGGATACACATATTTGATTAGATGCTCTGTTTCGGTTTCTCCTGCCAAAACACAGGTTAAAGCATTTCTTTAAAATTTTTATGATATTCAAGCCAGAAGACGATAATAAATATACTGTATAAAAATATTAAAAAAAGCTCCTCTACTGAAATTTAAATAACGTTTAAATTTTGTCTTTAAAAATAATTATTTAGATACACATTTATGTTTGAATTAAGCAGATATGACAAGAAGGATTTCATTTAAAGCCACTATTCATCATTGCTTGATCGGCAATGTCCTTTTTATGCCACGCTGAATCCAATAATGGTTTCTCCTGCCAAGAGGTACACTGGTTCGAATCCTGTCAGAAGGTGCATATTTTTCTTTAATAAGCTTTCTAAAATATTCAAGCCAGTAGACAATGATAAATATACTGTTTAAAATATAAAAAAAACAGTGTCTACTCAAATATGGGTGTCCGCTAAAAATAACATTTTAGTGATAAAAATCTGTCAGATTAATAAATAAAATACCTATTACTTTTTTAAGGAAATATACAGAATTCTAAAAATGAAAATCCATGGAGTTATTTTATAAATATTGAGGGACACAGTGACAGGTGTATCACATATAAAAAAGTAAGATATCAAAATCGAGGGCAGTTAATTAAAATACAAAACCCCCAAAAAGGAATAAAAATGTCTTAAAGTCAACCTACCAACTTACAAACACTAAAACTAATTTTTTTTCGTGAACTAAAATTGATGCATATTTTTTATTTTTAGGAAAGTCCTTCACATATTAATGGTAGATGCCTTGAACTTGGCAAATCTATTAACAAACTTCTGGATTTCTCTGTATTAAAGAATGCTAACGCTATGATGCTGGTTATCATTTTCTTTCTCTGGTCTGGTAAGTAATAATTCTGACTTTATTTATCCATATACACTTTGAGAAAATTTGTGTCAGGATCAAATGCCAAAATACATGTGAGTTTAAATTATACATGTTACGACTGGCAAGACACAACACTTAACTCGACAAAGTGAGTTGTGATAGCAGTATTCAGTACTCAGCTAGACAAGTCATTGCAATACTATTATCATCTTTCTTTCTTGACATTTACCCAGGAGTACTTATCATGAATGGATCAATCCATTTGTGACAGTAAGGTGGATAACTTTCTCTCTTATCACAACAATTCATGTTTGTAATATTTTGCCAATTTTGTTACAATGTAATTGTTTTTTTTTGTTTTTTTAATAATTTCAGCCCAAGCAAGACAATAAAGTCACTAAGACGGAAGGGGTTAATGAGTGTTAGAGAATATGAGAAAAAGAAAACATTAAGAAGAGATAAAAATAAAAGAACAGGAATTAAGAAGACAGAAGATAATGATTGATATTGCATTTAAATTTTTGATGCTCAAAGTTGACTGAAAAGGATGAAACCAGAAGAGAGTTCCACAAGCGGGAAATCCAAGAGAAGAAAATGTTAGCATAGAAATTACGGTTAGATCTAGCCAAGTCAACTGTATAATGATAAAACCTTGCTGCCAATCTAGTATGGTGCTTAAATTCATAAAGTTTAGGTACCATAGAGGAAAGAATAATCACCATGAACATATTTATAGAAAAAGATCAGGGAAGCTATGTTACATTGGTGGGAAAGTGACTGAAGCTGAGATGCCAGCTCGGGACAGATAACATTGCAAATTCTCCTCTGTATTTTATCGAGAATCTTTAAATACACAGAAAAAGCACCAAACCAGATGTGGCAAAAATATTCAATGAATAGAGGAATGGTAGGCTTATGAATGTGTAAGAGGCATTCTGCCAAGAGAAGTTGTCTATCAGAGCACAATCAACCAAATTTTGATTCAATATAAATCTTTCCACTTCATGTTAGCAGAAAACGTTAACCTGAGAAGGTTTAATGAGCCACTCTCCTGGATGTTAGCATTAGTGATGCTGATGGAAGGCAAAAATAATCTCTCAGATGGTTAATAATGTACAGTGTCATTTTCGTAGCTTTAAAATTAACCCAGCTAACAACAGATAATATGTCATTTGACAACAGATGTTATTTAATAACAGATATTAGATCATTTTTTAAACCAGGTGCCAATTTGAACTTATCAAACCAATTAGACTTACCGTCAAGACAGGAGTAAATAGTTTTGTCTTCTACATAGATACTGAGTTGAGAACTGATAACATCAAGAAGATTGTTGATGAAGATTTGGAACACTGTATGTCCAAGGATAGAGCCACGGAGGACAGCTGCGTTAATGTAAAAAGATTGAAAAGAGTGGCCATTCAAGGCAGCTTTTATTTTGCGATTTGATAAGATTGATTCAGTTCAAAAATTTGTCCCAAAATATCATAACCATTCAATTTATGAAGAATATAAGCATGCGCAACCCTTTCAAATGCCTTCCATGTTGAAAAATGAATGGAGGCATAGCATCGCCATCACTATTGATTCCTTCAAAGACCCTCATAATTACCATTAGATTCTTCCAACTCTTTACGAATCCTCTGCACTGTCCTCAGATTGACACCAAATCATTCTGAAATGTTCGTATTAGAAGTACAGCATGCCGTTTCCCAATTTCTTGCAGAGTGAATTGCGTCATGCTGTTCTGTTTCTCACAGACGGTGTTGAACTGAGCCTACTATAATGTACAGTTGACAAAATCAAAAACAAACAACGCGTATGTTTGAAATTAAAAATATAAAATGGCGACAATTTACCCAGCACACCCGGTATATATATTTTATATAGACATTTTAATTAATAGCTATTGATACAACAGGATCTTGCTAAATAAACTGAGTGACAGCACTTCACCAGACAATAAAAAATCTCCCTTGAAGAGAAATTTTAATAAAATTAAATAATGCCTAAATATTAAATCCACTTTGGCAGGAAAGGAGACAAGTTTGCTACTACAACTGCTTAAAACACATCCATTAAGCTGAGAATTGGGAGTCAAATCTCTTCTGAAATTTGTAGGACCATAAGAGTTAGTATAGTTAATAGATATTTTATACATATTAATACAAAAATTAAAATTAAAAGGTAATTATTTTTCTTATTTTTTTGTTATTGCAACAAACTTCTTCCATGTACCATGTGCCTTCAGAATGTGGGCGATCATGGTTCTCCGCAACTTCCTGTTTTTGTAGCTCTTAGCAGTGTTTCAAAATCTCTGTTTTGCCAACCAAGGTCGTTAGGTAGATTATTTACTACTTTCCTCTGTCTCTCTTGTCTTTTATATATCCTGTGAATATCATATTTTCTAAGCCTTTATTCTTTATTACATACCCTATAATTTTCAGTTGTGTCTTTCTAATTCTTAGTAAAAGTGTCCATTTTGTTTCCATTTTCTCGAAAACTTTGTATTCTTTTCATAACCAATAAATATGCTGCATGGTTTATAAAAATGTTATTCATCAATAAGATTTGAGCTTGCATCCAAAATTGACTGGAATCCATCTTAAATGAACAGGGATGCTGCGAAATTTAAATTTAAAAAAAAATAGACGAAACGTGTCACTCGAAAACTTATTCCACTTTGTCATACATTTTCCCCAATATTGTTCTTGATATATAATAAAATCAAGAAAATCAGATGGTAGATACCGTAGTTGAAAAAGAGAAGAATATAACTTGAGTGATGTTGAAGTCTTGGTTAAGTGTCGTCATGTTAAAAACAGGCTTTTAAAGAATAAAAAACAGAAGTGCCGGCAGAAGTTTATTCTTTGATTTTGTTCCAGGCTGCTTAATTAAGCTCATAAAATAACAGATTTCCAATAAGTAGTAACAGAAATAAGTAAGAATGAAGAAAAACTGTTAAAAAAATATCTTTTTTTATTTTTTTAAATTTTTTTAACATCCGATTCCCAGCAGTTGAATTATTATTTTATAATTGTATATTATAGCCAATCAAGTAGTGATGGTCTACCTGCCGTTTTACAGCATCAATGTCGGGTTGAGTACAGCAGATGGAGCTCTGATGATGTCAGTCTCAGGAATTGGCCTTACTGTTGGCGAGTTGCTTTCTGGTGTCCTCCTAGATATTCTTCACGTCAAAAGTGACCATTTGATGACTTTTTCAATGATTTGCATGGGTTTTACCACTATAGCCATTCCATTTTTTAATGATGTTTATTCACTCAGTGCTTTTATTGTGTTTTGGTCTATAGCAGTTGGTAAGTTCTCTTTACTAAACGTTTTACTTGAAAAAAAAAAAGAACGGATTTTTTTAATTGACTTTTTAATATTTATTATTATTATTACAAAACTCGTGAAAATTTTACTGTTTTCTTATTTGAATTTTCTGATGAATCTTAATTCTTAATTTAATGATTGAATAAGCTCATAGTGAACACTACGACAATAAAATATCGGTAGAAATTCCACTATTGCATCGTTAAATATTTGAGGTTAAAAATTTTAAAAATTGCAATAACAATGAAAAATCTAGATGCTGATCTTTATTTTAAGAACTAAGGGAATACAAATGAAAAGATCTGAAATTGACAACTTTTTCCATTTCACTGAAACAAACATTAAATTTATGAGAATGTTATCGCATGTTTTATCTTTCTTTTTTTCTCACTGATAAGTCTTTTTCATTATTCCACGATCAAAACGGAATATGTCCATTATTTATGAGGTACTGGCAGAGAGTAACATATCGCGTTCCTTATTTCTGTGTCTTTAACGAACACGCACTGTTCTTGTCCTATCTCTGGCCTGATTCTGCTGCGTTCTATTCATCAGAATTCAAATTGTTAACCGTTTTGTTATGTGGCTCATTTGGCTGATTGTTAGGCGGAGTTCACATTCGTTTACGCCTAGGCAGTGTTACGAAAATAGATCTGCTTACGTCTTCCGGTATATCCCCACTGTTGTAGATTTAATTTATTACTGCAAGCTTGTCTATGCTGAAATCGTTTAAGGCTGCCATCATCTCGATTACAATTCCGTCTAGCCCGGTCGCTTTGTTTTTGTTTCTGTTCACTTTGGCCACTGCAGCTTCCAAATAATTTTAACCTGTAAAAGTTTCACGGTATTTCTATTTTAATATTCTAATGAATCAATTCTTAGCTAGTGATTGAGTAAGCTTATGGCGAGTTCTGTGACTAGAAAATAATTGTGGAAATACTTCTATGACAACGTTAAGTATGAGCTTAACAACTTTAAAAAAATATTGCAATAACAATTATAAATATGAATGCTAATCGTTATTTTAAGACGTGTGTACAACTGAAACAGTCGCTAAACACTTCTATATTCCTTTCTTTCATTTATTTTCTCACTGAAACCAAGTAGCGTTTCTGATATGTGTTTTGTTTCTCCACTTAATCAAAACGAAATATTCCATTTTTATGAGGTTTTGGCAGTAGTCGTTAAACGTTTCTATCTTTCCTTCCTTTTTTTCTTTCTTTCATTTTCAAAACTGAATCCAACGCCTTTATCCACTGTGCCATGACCTCAAGGACACATGGCACAGTGGATAAAGGCGTTAGTTAGATCCAGTGACAGGACCCAAAGAGTGTGAGTTCAATACCCGGTTAAGGCAGTGGAGAACTTGAAGAGGGGAATTAACAGGAGATAACTGATAACTGACATCCATTAAAACATGCCACGTGGAACATTCCAACATTCCATATGGAGAAAGCCGGAGCGTAAAATTCGATCTTGCTAACCGAACGCGCCTCTGTGGCCAAATCGGTAAAGTCACGTCAAGCTAAATGACGGTTCCGTATAGGATACAGGTTCGAATCCTATCGGAGGACGAATATTTTCTGTGAAAATTTCTCGGACATTCAGGCCGGTAAATGTTGTTTATTATAAACAGAGCATTTACTTAAATATTTGTAACTATAAAAAGAATGTATAAACACAAAAATGTCTTTATATATATATCAACAAAACAGCACTAAGCGACTAGGTTCAAATTGTTACTCTGAGTTTTACAGAGTGGTCATCAGACGGCACGAACCGTGAAACTTGGAGTAACAATTTGGACCTAGTCTTTTTTATATATATATATATATATATATATATATATATATATATATATATATATATATATATATATATATATATATATATATATATATATATAGACAAAACCATTTTACTCACTACAAAGATGCAACTTGGTTTCAGTGCATTTCAACTGCACTTCGGCAGGTGAGAATCGAAAATGTTATGAACAATCCTGCTTGTAGTCGTTGGAATTTATATATTACTTTCGTTCTCATCGGATATATATATATATTTATATATATATATATATATATATATGTGTGTGTGTGTGTGTGTGTGTGTGTGTGTGTGAAAATATATAGAAAATAGGAAGGAACTGGTTAGGTAAATAATCCAAAGTTCCTTAGTATTTTAGTTATTATTTTTTAAAAATAGTGCTCGATACAAAAGTAGAGCATAAATATAATTATTCATTTAAAAATATGATTCCAACTCGCGACATAAGAGGTCTCATGTTTCAAAACAAGAGCCGAAAACTTCAATATAATTATTTGAATTAAATTGAGTTAAAGTGAGCTCTGTTCCATCTTCAAGCGAAATTTTTTTTTTGAATAACGTATTTCTGAAATTTACGTGTTTTAATAATTGAAATCAAAATTTCCATGGTAACAGCTAGGGCGAATTGTTTAAATTGGGTAGGCGTGTGTTGGGTGTTAATAATAAGTATCAATATAGAGTTACTTTCATGGATGTCAAGTCAGGCAAAGGTGGGGGTTTCTAAATTTGAAACGGAAGATATATATATATATATATATATATATATGTGTGTGTGCGTGTGTGTGTATGTATGTGTGCGTGCGTGTATGTGTGTATATACGTATAGATTAATATGTATATATAGCGATATTAAAAATTAACTTATTCTGAATGCAAATCTTGTGATATTTCTAATGAAAATCTAGCGTGTTAAAAATCTGAAATTAGCGTTCGTTCATTCGGAAGGAACTCTAAATGCAAGATCTGATAATAGCGATTTTCCAAGCGTTGCTCACATTTGGCACACGGTCGAAAGTATGGGGCACCCAGTGAGGATCGAACTCACTATTCAGTCGTAATTGTTCTACCGAGACAAGCCTGCTAACCATTATACCACGCCGAGGTGCCCAAAAATCTGATAAATAGTTCAATAGATTTATCAAACATCTGGCCTTGAGCGTTTTTCCGCGAATCTCTTGAGTTGGCTAACCAGATAATTTCTTTGAACTTTTCTTGATTTAATGAATATATATGTGTGTGTATTATTACTTTCTAACTCATATATTTAAAATAGTATCTTAGCAATAAATAACAATAATTTTATTGTATATTGAAGGTGTTGGCGTTTCATTGCGAGTGCTTCTTATTGTGGACCTGCTCGGCGTGGAAAATCTGGCACCAGTGTATAGTTTTGTGTTGTTTTCCTGTGGATTCGGCTATGGCATTTTCCCACCAATCACAGGTAATAATTAATGGATCTTATTTTTTTAACCCGACATATTTTTATTGCTTCAACCGTTATTTTTAGTGGATATCGATATTTGAATAAAATATCCGGTTATTTAAAACAATGCTTATGTCGTCTACCGGCCAACACATGCAAGTAAATTTATTCCGTCCTCCATTGCAGAAGAAACCACCGTCTAATCCGTCGTGATTTGACCGCTTGACTTCGCAGAGTTTCACAAAAAGCAAATGGCGGTCCCTCTTGCAAATATTCACGTAGGTTTGAACCCTACCAGGGAGCAAATTTTCTTTAATAAGTTTTCTCGAGTTTTCAGGCCGGTAGACGAAATATACATCGTTTAGGATAAACGGTGTGTTTACTCAAATACGGTTATTCAGTGAAAATAATGTTTGAAATAATATAAGGCAGATCAGTAATGGAATCCCGTTAGGTGCAGAAAGCTTTTGGCTTGTGTATGCCAGAACCGTGTGCAAAATCAACAACTAAACTCAATGAAATACAGTCTGAAGACCAATGAGACTCCTCTGGAACCGCACAGTAGGCTACCAAGGAGACTAAAACGAACATTACACGGCAGACCCTTACAGATATATATTAAGACATATGTAGGTACCTCCATAGATTCGCGATATGTAAGGTTAAAATGAATTTTATGAAAATAAATCATTTTTGACGCTTTTATTTTACTTTTAATTTCAAGCTAATAGATTAAATTTAATATTTTCAATAAGTAAAATACTTTGCTGTATTTCGAAACTAACTTAAATTGACTAAAAAGAGCTTTTTAATCGCTAAAAATCGCCGATTTCAGCGCCATTTTTAGCCATCTGTCAGCACAATGTAATACGTTTTATTAAAAAAATACTTCAAAAATAAAATATACTTACTTGGAAATTCATTTGATGAATATTAGCTGATTCAAAGTTTAATTAATCTGATTTGAAACAAATATTATTTACATTTTGTTTAAAATATCTCAGAAATGTATTTTTAACACGGAGGTAGTTGTGTATTTATGGTGTTGACAAGTTGACAGCTGAACTGATACCTGATACTTTTTTTTCTAGGTGGACATATCTGTAAAAATTACTTAAAAAGAATAATAAAATATTATTTAATAATTAACAATGTAAAGATATTGAGGATAAAACTTTGTTTTTATTAATTTTGGGAATTTTTTTTCATCATGTATTCTCATTTTTTAGCGAATCTGGAGGTCTCTAGATTTATAGGAGATATGATATAGATATATTGGATAACTGAATGAGAAAATGAAAAAAAATATCCCATGTGATGCGTTTACTCTTTCGAAAGGACTTCCTCAGACAAAATAACGTTTCTTTTTGTGCACGGTGAGACCGAATAAAAAAAAAAAAAAAAAAATGCTAGTTACACTTCAAGAATTTGCGACCACATTCAGTAGCACGGAATATTCTTTTGAGGTGCTTTTTATCAGCACTACATAAATCACATTCATGCCTTTCATTGCAACGTTTAGCTATTTTCGGAGTGGAGATTTATTGTTTTAAAATTCTGTTCAAGTTTAAAACATTGACTGCCAGAAGTCAATCCCGAAATCTGACTTTAAATGCTAGCATTATAATAGCCAACTGAGGTAATAAAACTTTTTTTTATTAGTTAATTTATAGTTTCAGTGGGAATCATAAAAAAATATTTCCACAAGAACTAAAACCATTACTACGAATAAACTCGTTGTCACCAAATTAGTTTGGTTTATTTTGTTTTACGGCATATCAACTCTGATACAGTGTAACCCGGATATAAGAGACCCGGATATAAGAGAAACCCGGATATAAGAGACTTCTTCTCCGGTCCCGACAATTCTCTTATATCCGGGTTACACTGTATTTAAATACCGGCAAGATTTTTAATGAAGGTTCGTATGAATAGAATATGTATTATTTTTTTAAAAAAATATTGCAGGTAATATAAGTTTTTACAAAAATGTATTCCTAGTAATATATTTTTAAAAATGTATTGCTGGTATTTTTAGTATAAAAATCTGTTTTTATACTTGCATCCAAGTTTAGAGGTTAACTATTTACCCATATCCGAGATCCTAACAGGTGCTACCACGCCAGGTAAGGGTGAATCTGGGAACAACTACAATTAAGAGGTGGCTCCACGCTCCTCAAAACTTCTCGATCTGAGACCGTGCTGCCCGATGTAGTTTATCGTCATACCCAGGATGTTGGCACCAGAAAAACTCATAGTCGATGTCGTAATAAAAGCCAAATCAAAGTAGAGAGCTATTGAAGGCGGTTGATGTATGAGTGCTAACAATAATCGATCGCAAATCCCAAAATCGAAAACTGTAAATGAACAAGAATAAACGAAATTAAATAAAATAAACAAAAACAAGTAAAATAAATTGATTCCAAAAAACAAATAAATTAAATAAACTACGTAAATAAAAAAATGTGGTCGCAAATTCTTGAAGTGTAACTAGCGTTTTGTTGAGAAAGGTATGAATCCTCTCCCCTCCCCACCCCACCTTGGATAAATTGAAGGACAGACTGGGTTCTATAGCCGTGCGTGGTAACTCTAAATTGAAAAACTCAAAATTCAAAACCGGCCTGGCCTGGAGAATGTTGGGCTCCATTAGGCGATCTTGCCCAAGAAACATCCACTTCTATTGCGGCTGCAGTAGAAGAGTCACTGGATTTGCGATCGATTACTGTTACCACACATACATCAAGCGCCTTCAATAACCCTCTACTTTGAATGGCTTTTGGGTCTTTTATAAGGCGAACATTAGTAAAAAGCACCGAAAAACAAAAGTAGATTTTATCAATCTTGTCTGTTAAAATAATAGTATTCAGTTTATTGTTTTGTACTTTTTGCCTTTTCGTGTCTTTATTCTATGTTCTTTTCACACGTATTTTCTTGTTTTGTTTACTTATTAGGATGGCTATATGATCAAACCAAGTCTTTCCTGACCATTTTCACAGCCACAGCTGCATTCTTTTTTATAAGCCTCATAATCACGTTTAGAATTAATTATCAAGTAATGAAACGCGCTTCTAAAAATCCTTCCAATGAACAGAGCCACAGAGACGTTTAAAACACAGATATCACACCGAACCTTTTGAAATATTCCTTTGCTTCGTAAGTATAATTATTTAATGTGTTGTTTATTTTTAAATACCATGTCCATTCAGGACGGAGGCCATCACGAATCTCCATGTACTTTTTCGTTATCTTTGAGTTGCCATGATTTCTGTGAAAATATTGAGCAGTGGTTTCTCGTTGCCTTCACTACGGTCTTGAATTCAGAGTAGTCCTTCTATATTCAGGGCGGGGCGTACTACCCCCGAACCTGGTGGGTGGGGGAGCCTGATTAGCACACAAACCTTGCACCTCAACGCGTCTTATACTGTCAGGGATAAAAAACGCCCCCTCCCAAATTAGAACAAGTTATAGTAAAAATCTTAATCCCCACTCCTCGGAACCTTCAGCTCAGCAGACATAAAAATTCCGACGACCTCACTAATAAACTAAAACCCTTAAACATGACGAATAAAAGCATGACCCGCTTAGATATCAAATCCCTACACACAAACATACCCGTCAACTAATGCGTAAGATTCTTACAAAGATATTTAAAAAGTCAGCCTCTCACTATCGACAAATAAAAGTATAGGAATTTGTCGTCTTATCACAAACCAAAGCTATTTTTCTTTCAACGGAAATTTTACAGACAGAAATTTGGACTGACCGCTCAGTGAACTACTGACATTTCTCTTTCAAGAATCTTTAGAGTCTGGCCACTCCATTCAGCGTACTCTGCCCCCCCCCAAACAAAAAACAAACTTCCGATATATTGACGATGTTCTACTAATACACCCACATGACACGCCACTACCAGAACTGGTTGATAAACTAAACAATATAGACCGTACAATCCATTTCACCTATGAAACAGAACAAAAAGCCTCTCTGATGTGTATAGTGCACAATGGGTAAATTGTCGCCATTTTATATTTTTAATTTCGCGCATGTGCGTTGTTTGTTTTTGATTTGGTCTTCTGCACGGTATAGTCGAGTCTGTTGTGCACCGTCTGTGAGAAAAATGACGCAATTCAATACACCAGAAATCTGAAAACAGTATGCAATGATGTACTGCTTGGCATTTGCACCTGAACTGTGATAAGAACATTTCAGAGTATTTAGGTGTCAATATAAGGACAGTGCAGAGGATTCGGAAAGAGTTCGATGATATATCCAATCAAAATCATGGTGTCTGGACCTGGGAACAACTACAACTAAGAGGTGGTTCCACACTCCCCAAAGCCTCTTGATCAGAGGCCTTGCTCTTGGATGTAGTTTATCGTCTTACCCAGGACGTGGATGTCGTTCATTGTCATACCCAGCACGGGCAAAGCATTAAGGCTCAAGAGATTTTCGTCAGAAACAAAGAAAAGAGTACTGAACTGATACGCGGTATCAGTCCTCATATATGGCAGTGTATGCTGGATAATCTCCTCGCAGATGAAGAAAAGATTTGAAGCAACAGAAATGTGGTTCTACAGAAGGATGCTGAGAATACTATGGACCTCGGCGTGGTGAAATGGTGAGCAAGCTTGTCTTGCTAGATCAGTTACTACTAAAAAGTGAGTTCGATCCTCACTGGATGCCCCATACTTTCGGCCTGTTTCTGATTACGACATTTCTGGAAATTCTTTTCTTTTTTCATAAAATTAAATTTTTAAATGAAAAAAATCCAACTTTTTCTATCTTTCAAAATGTCCTACAGATACTATTGAAACTAAAAATTTTACTCAAATGGTAAAATACTTAATAACCTCTGAAAGTTTTGACATAAAATTGACTGATGTAGGAGAGGAGTGGTAAACTATAGGATGCAATGCTTATAATTATTTGAATTGAAGACGCGCTTTGTTTTATTTTTATTGGTATTTTTATTACAAAGATATCATAGAAATAGAGCAAAGTACATGTGTAAGAAAAGGGGGTGATCTTTCCTGTCCTAAGTTTAATTTTCTGAATTCACTAAATGAAAATATATTTATTCAGGACATCTTTTAAGCTTTAAAAATCACTAACGAAAAACTCTAAAAGAAAATGAAACTCAATGGAAATGCGAACTAAATTTCTTACACTGCATCGGAAAATACAGTTTGCTTGAATATGTTCAAAATATGCTCCAACGAGTATTTCCAAAGAAAAGTTATATATATATATATATATATATATATATATATATATATATATATATATATATATATATATATAAAGAGAGAGAGAGAGAGAGTGAATTGTAATGGATTCCACTAAACGTGAGGACACCGCAATTAAAAACCAGTTACGTAACTAAACACACAAGAATCCTTGATAAAAAATGTAATAACATTCGAATGTTTTCGGAGAAGATAATATAAACTAAAAGTTAATTACTTTTAGGAAATTTGCCGATAAAACAAAAGATCTTATTCAAAAACATGAAAGATATAATGCAAAAATTGATAGACGGAACATGTCCATATTATTAATATTATTTAATAAAATAAGTTTCATAGAAATCTTGCTGTAGAAATACATCTTATACGTTTATATAAACCAAAATTATGATTTTTGAAAGTCCTCCCTTGGAAGAGTATTTGGATTTAATTTGCGTATATACTTCTAAATCACTACCAAACGAACAACAACAACAATAATAATAATAATAATAATAATAATAATAACATTATTGTTGTAGTAGTAGAAGAAGTAGTAGTAAAAGAACTACTATTACTACTACTACTACTACTACTACTACTTGAACTTACGCACGTATCCGCAGTTGTTGATGTCACTGATAGGCCGGGAATCTCACTGGTAGCAAAATCAATGAGATCAAGGGCAACCAGTGACTGCTGTGTTGCTGCTCCTTGCTTACCCAAAGCCTGCCACCCGTTCATAATCGGTCAAGATTTTTAATTCTGGCAATGTAAAATAGTGGTTGCGTTTTCACTGTAGGACTCGTCCCTTCACTATTAAGTCCATAAGTTTTCCAGTTTTAAGCGGAATACGCGGGCGGTAATGTCATGTCTGGGAGTGTAATCCCGTCCGGGTAGGAGTTCACGAGTTATCTCAACCCATTTGGGGTTGCAGGTAAACGTTATACATAAGTCTGGCCGCCCATATTGCATAATGTAATGCTATAGCCTTCTGCGTGCGTTCATGCATGTAAGCCCCCCCCTCAAGTGTAGGTAGATGGCAGAATGCACAGCTTCCCTAGGTCGCGGGGATTGACTTCATTTCGAAGGCTGTCGCGTAAGTGTACGTAGGAGTCTAAGCGCAGCTATTTCTGATGATTCCATATAAAACAAAGCCTCTCCGATCCCATATTAGCGGCCATGTCAACGGCAAACTGGTGGAAAAGCTCCCTGCATCTATGAAGCAGGTTGAAGTCTCCATCCCTAACCATGAAATGGTATGTGTAGAAGGCCTTGCAGGATAAGGCTTTGGAAGACGTAAGTTGGCCACCGAGATTATGAAGTGGAATGCCGAAGTGGTAGCCTCGTCACCATAAGCGAAGAGCGCCGCCTCTTGATTTGAGGACAATATCGCGAGTGCGGTCTTGCTCCCCATGTATAATAGCGGCCACTTCGTTGGACGCAGGAACATTGTAGCAGCGTTCATGTTCATCATGAGGCCGTTTGTCGGCGCCAATTACAATGCTGAAGGAAGGAAAGGGAGCATTTTCCTAAGCATAATGACGTCCCTGCGAGGAACTCTTCCCGACGGCGACAAAATACAAATCCGGGTTTCGGTCTGTAGGTTGTAGTCTGCCATAAAGTACAGTTGAATGAATTTAGGCGTAGAGGTCTCCTCAGGCAGCAGAGACACAATGAGGTGGTATAACTGCCTCTGTACTTTGAAAGTGGGCATCCAACCCACTTCTCGAACCACCTGAGCCCAAATGAGGTCATTTGAAAGGAGTTGTTGTATTGCCTAATTGTTTTAATGAAGTGGTTGGAGTCGGGATGAGAGCCGGTTATTAGTCCCCTCAACGGAGTATGTGGTTCATGCAGAGGTGGCAGTCGAACTTTCCTAGCATTTCGAACAGATCTACGTAGCGGTGTCTCAGTAGCCCTAGCGCTCGCTGTTGCAGCAGCCTCCCTGGATTGATGAGGGCGTCTGCGGTCGAATGTTTCAGCTGCCCTCGGCCTGGCAGTAGTGGCAGCATTCATAGCATTTCGCACAGACCTACGGAGCGGTGTCTCAGCAGCCTTAGCGATCGCCGTTACAGCAGCATCACTGGATTAACGGGCGCGCCTTACGTTTCAAAGAAGCCTTTGATAATGAGTCTCGGAAGCCCGAGATGCAGAGGCAGTTGCTGCAGCCTGTACGTTCATTCTCGACCGTTGTGCATTCTTGAGCCTTGGTCGCAACGACGCCCTGCAGGCAGCTTTCCCAACCAAGCAGGTGGCACGCTCTTCTTGTGACTGCGAGGCCTGTGTGAGGGCGCTGCGTTGCGTGGCCTGTGATAGTCGCATTGTGGTCAGCTCCTGGGACTCGCGGGCCTTTCTTACCCTCATAGCGGACGCTCTTGCAGACTGAAGGCTAAGGCGTACCCTCCATTTTAGCGGCATGGGGAAAAGTGATGCTAGCAGCGGTTGATTAGGGTTGCTCAATTGCAGGAGTACAAAGTCTAACTTAGTATCGAAAAGCGTGAGTCAGAATCGGGAAGGCAGATATTTAAGTAAAACAGCTGAATAAATTGTTTGTGGTAGTTGGAAAAATGTAGTTAAACAGACAAACGGAAAACAAAAACGTAAAAAACAACTTGCGGTAAGAGAAATGATCAGTTGAAGTAGCCTATCGTATCAACCGGATGGCGGCGTAACAGGAGCAGAAGCGAGACTTTCGTCCCACAGCTGTGCAGAGCAAGTTCAAATGCGACGTATTACTGGCCAATCGGTTGTGTCAATCAACGATCGTCCTAGGGTCTCGAACACCAATCAGCGACCGCGTACTGAACTCAGCCAATGAGATAACCGCTATGTGATGCATGGTCACGAGTGTGTGAATAACAATCAGCTGTAGAGTCTGTAGTGTAGACGTCTCAGTTGAACATACGTTTGATTGGTGTATTCGTAAATTCCGATGAAGACATGATTGCATTGACTTCCCTCAGGTATTAGTTGGTCACGTCCTTCTCACAGGGCAGAAGTTTTAATTGTTACGACTAAAGCCGATAAAGTTAATCAAAATCCCAAGCAAGTTGAGAGAAAACATCGCCAAATTTAGGTAAACACGATTTGAATGGGAAGTCAAAAAGGGGTATGATTTCAATCGATTTTTATCCGATAATTGAAAGCGATATTGAAAACGAAAGTCGGTAATACTGTCGGTAAATACTATGCTCAACGGGAATTTTGCTGAAAATTCTTCGCCATTTGTGAAAAATATAGCCAAAAATCAGCTAGACTGGACATGAATCGGATATCCCAAAGTGATCGGTTGTATCAATTTTTTCCAGTAATTGATATCGATATTGAAAATGAATGTCAGCACCTCATAAGTGTTGATAAAAACAATGCTCAACTTAATTTTGATGGAAATTCTTCGCTTTTCCGAAAAATATAGCCAAAACTCAGCTTGACTTGATTTGAATTGGAAGTCAAAAGTGGCATGCTGTTATCGATTTTTACCGATAATTGATACCGATATTGAAGAAAAAGTTCAGCAACTAATACCTGTTGATAAAACTAATGCTCAACATGATTTTCGTGAAAATTCCTTGCAGTTTGCGAAAACAGAGCCAAAAATCAGTTACATTGGATTTGAATCGGATGTCCCAAAGTGATCAATTTTATCAATTCTTTTCCGATAACTGATATCAGTTTTTAAAAACAAAGAACAGCACCTCAAAACTATAGGTAAGGACATTGCTTAATGTGAGTTTGGTGGATATCACTTGTAATTTGTGAAAACTATCACTGAAAAACTGATATTTTTTCGAATCAATATTTGCCCCTCTATCGGTTTTATCGATTTTTCCAAAATCGGAGGATCAATCGAAAAATCTGAAGACGTCAACTACGAATGTCGTAAATTTCCGATCTGTGTGTGAATTTTTATGCCAATCGGACGAACGGTTTGCTCAGGATGAGGTAACAAGTTGACAAACATACACACACACTAACAGAATGTCATTTATAGATATAGATAAAACACGTAAACACAGAAGTAACTCTCTATCTCTTTCTCTCTCTCCCCCCTCTCTTTCTTTATTTTCTCTCTCTCTCTCTCACTCTCTCTCTCACTCCCGGGTTTTTCCTCTTTCAAAGGTGTGACATGAACTTTCCAAGACCATGCTTTCGAGACTACTAAAATCTTATCCTCTTCAAGTCTAGGGTCTACCTTTATATATCTCGCATATCCACATAATCTGTAGATAGATAGACAGATAGATAGTTTATGTTAATAATAAACGAGGAAATAAAAATAATTAACATAAAATTACAGATAAATAATTTTAAGAGGTTAAATTAAAAAAAGAAAAGAAGAAATGACGCCACTACAAGATCTCATAGATCTTGCAGTTCTTTCTTAATAAGTTGAGACAAATATCTCTTGAATGTGAGCCGAACGTTTGTTGCTTGTCATTGAAGTCTTTTGTAATTTTATCTGCATGCGTTTAATAGAGGGCACCTCTCCGTTGATGTCCTTAAAAATATATACATTTTAACAGGAGGTCATGTGGAAAAGTATTGTGTGAAAAAAATGAGGTTTATGTAATGGCATTAAATCTAGCTTCATGGATGAATGCTTCTTCAATAATACGTCAGGAATGTGTCTTAAATTCGGTAAACAAAAGAATTCGAGATGTATCGGAAAAAAGAAATGAAAGCTTGAGATAAAAAAAAATCCGCGAATGATGATAAGATTATACTAATATTATATTGTAACCATTAATTTTATGCTAATTATTTTTGTCACAAACTCATCGGTATGTGTGTATGTGTCTATTCAAAAGCTTTAACGTGGTATGTAGGTAATTATTTCCTACAATACACTATAATCGGTCGCTATAAAAAAAGCAATTGGCTTACAAAAGAAATGAAGACGTTATGGAACAAACACGTTGTCAAGATAAACACTCAGTTGTGGAACAAGCTGAGAAAAGACACCCGTCCCTTGATAAAGAGAGCTATTTATCGTGCCATGGAGCATCTTATTGTGCTCAAGTGGGATAGTCCATTGTTTGGGCTGTGATTGGCTGCTGGTATATGAGTGGAGGTATTTCTGTATAAATACCAGCTTGATTTCATTCAGTTTGCGGGGTTTCTATTGAGTTACAACCGGCTTTATTTTTGTCTGCCAGCTGGACCCTAGCTGGGATCCTTACGCCGGTAAGTGTTGTTAATTTATTGTTATTCTGCATCCCCCCACCATCGCGTGTGGGTAGTGGCCTTTGGGGAGGGATTTGGCTTACAAATGAAATGAAGACGCCTAAAGATGATCTGACGAGCTATATTCTCTATTTTCACCAGTTCAGACCTTTACTGTTAAATCACACTATCCCAAATACAAAAAGGCCACCTGCCCCATTCCCTTCGTTAGTAGGTCAGAGGGTCGAAAGACAAAGTGTCGAACGGAGAAAGTGCCGAACGAAATAGGAGTCGAACTGACTGAATAACGAATGGACAAAATATCGAAAAAACAAAGTCAAAACGAACCTATCGTCATGAATTTAAAACCTCAGTTCAAATAATCAATTAAGGTATTCAAAACATTTTGTTGCTTATCGTTGGCATCATTTAATAAATAAAAGTTTTAAAAGTGATTAAGTTTCCATAATCATCAGTTAGCGGTCTGATTTGGGCTGGTTCGTTTAATATATATATATATATATATATATATATATATATATATATATATATATATATATATATATATATATTCATTAACTCTATTCTGTAGTTTGAATGCAGATCTTTGTTCAAATTTTTTTTTAAAAATGTAGAAAAAGTATTTTTTTTAATCGTATATTTTCATAATAGTTTAAAATTTTGAAATAATTATTTTCTGACAGGATACTTGCATGCTAAGTAAAAGGTATTCTGTTGTAAGGTACATTTCAAGTACTTAACCTCTCCAAGGTGAGTGTCAACTGTTATCTATCACGCATATTCTAATGATCAATAATTCTTAGATAGATAAATCAATAGATGGACAGATAGAAACTGACTGAGATAGGTAGATTAAAGTGTTCCTTCTTCCACTAATTTCCATCAACTCCAGCAACCTATATATCGATCTGAAACTCGAAACCGAAGCTCCCTATGCACTCTTGTTTAAATTGAAGTAAACTAAATATAAAAAAGGTGAATATCAGAAAAAAAAAATTTACGTACAAGTGAAATGAAGCCACTAAATGATCCCGCAGAGTCTTTCTTAATAATTTGAAAAGTTTAAAACAAACATCCATAAATGTTAGCTGAACGTTTTTTGCTTGTGTAGTCCTGGAACGCTTTTGCCATTTTATTTGTGTTAGTGTAAAAGAGAACACCTCTCCGGTGATGCTCGTACAAAATATTTACATTTTAATGCGAAGTGAAGTGGAACAAGATTGCGTAAACAACATTTCCGGGATAATATTAAGACAGCTTTCGCGGATGAAGCATAGGAATTGGTGGAAAAAAATTCAAAGTAAATCTAAAAGAGAAATAAAGCTGTTGATAAAAAACTTCGGATTATTTGGTTTTGCCTAATAATTTCACATGGCAGTTTTTTTTTTTTTTAGAATACTATTTAACACAGAGCTGGTGGCGGGAGTGGGGCAAAAAAAGATTAATATGTTTCCATGAAGGTACTTGTTCGTAATTGAATGTAAAGCGCCAGATTGGAATTCGAATCTCCATTCCCTTCGTATTCATTTGGAAAAAAAAGTTCCAGTCGGAGAACTTCCTCCCAAGAGGATGCATCCGAGACCAATAAAATCTTGGCTTCTTCAAGGGTCAACCTTTAGATATCCCGCATTAAATTAAAAAGAAGAGATATGTTGACATTAGAAGATGCCACAGAAATTATCGTTCTTTCTTGATAAGAAAAATGGATATAAATGTAAGCCGAAAGTTTGTAATTTGTCTAATCCTTGAAATCTTTTGTACTTTTGCTATGCATTATCTATTTACATCTCTTTAAAAGCGAACACAACCCCATCGATATCTCAACAAAATATTATATTTTATTGGAAGTAAAATGGAAAAGTACTGAGTAACAAAACAAAAGCAATCATGTAGAAAGATTTTATTTTCATCGGAGGTTTTCAAATTAGTTTAATATTTTAAAATAACTATTTACCTGACGTGTACTTAGACGCTAAGTAAAACGTATTCTGTTGTCGGCACATTCTTAGCCTTTTGTCATTTAGTCAGTTCGACTCCTTTTCTGATCGACACTTTGTACTTTTGACCCTTAGTCTGTTTGTTCATTTTGTCCTTTCGTGATTTTGTCTTCGAAGCTTTGTCATCCGACACTCTGTCTGCGCAAGTTCTCTTCGCAAGTCCCTTTCTTAAAAAATAAAGTCTATTCGGACATATTCTTCCCAAGAAGATATCTTCACGGTCTCTATATTCTGAGCGTTTTCAAGTCGAGTGTCAGCTTTTATCGATCACACATATCCTCCTGAATAATACAACTTAGATATATAAATATATAACTACAGAAAGATAGAAGCAGACTGAGATAAACATATCAACATTTTCCTTCTACTTCTACTTTCCATAAAAGCCAGAACTTTATATATATCGATGTAAAAGATGAGTAACACAGTCTGATGTTAGCTTAAGACACGAACCTGAAACTCTCCATGCATCCTTTTATTTGTCAAATCTGTTTATATTATTAAATTAAAGATAAATGAATATAAAAAGATGAACATCAAAAAAGAGAATTTACTTACTAGTGAAATAAATCCAGGCAATTTTCCCACAGAAATTGTAGTTCTTTGTTAATAACTTGTGATAAAAATTTCATCAATGTTAGACGAATATCTGTTGCTTGTCTCATCCTTGAAATCTTTTTAATTTTATTTTCACCGTCGATTATCGTACAAAATCTTTTAATGTCAAGTGGAAAATGTTTGCATAAACATTAGCTTAAACGTTTGTCGCTTGTGTAGTTTCTTACAATTTTTTGTACATTTATCTGCGTTCGTGAAAAAAGAACACCTCTCCGTAGATGCTCGTACAAAATACTTATATTTTAACAGGAACTGGAGTAGAAAAAGATTGTGTAAGTAAACGTTTACGTGACAGCGTTAAGACAACCTTCACGGATGAAAGCTTCTTCATAATGTAAGGTGAATCTTTCTTCGACAATCCTAAGAATTCAGGGAACATTTCTATGTGAAGCTGAAAGACAAATAAAGCTGTAAATGAAATTTTTGGCAATTTATGTACTTGGTTCCTGTTAGAATATCTAAATGTTCAGTTACCAAATCAATATTTCATATTATTTCATGTTATATATTGTATGAAAAGTAAAAGTATTGTAGTAAAAGTGAAAGAGAATATACAAAATAATTATCATTAAATTAAAACGAAGTAAAAATGAGAAAGGTGAAATTTCAAGCAAAAAAGCGAAGACATTTTATTTCGAATTAGGTATTTCCAAGTCAATTATCATTCTAACTAATTGACGAAATTATTATGGAATTTTTTTTTTTTAATTTTACGGTGTATCAACCTTTTGTGTAGTATTTAATGCCGAAATGTATTTTGGATTGTTAGAATAATGCGTATTTTTGTACTTCAATATTGTATTAAGAATTTTGTTGGAGATAACAATTTTTTTTTTGCTGGTACATTTTCTAACATTTAACATTAGGTAGGGAAGGCGGCTGGGGTGGAGAAAGAAGAGATAGATTTAGAGTTTTCCATCAAGTCATTTGTGCTTGAATGAATGTAAAACGAAAGACTGGAATACGGATAAACTTTCATTCTATATTCAGCTGAAAAAAAAATTTCAGTTGGACAATTTTCTTCCAAGATGTTGCTTCTGTGTCAAAGAAATTCTTAACTTCTTCAAGTCTAAAATCAATCTTTATATATCCTGTATAACCACATAATCTGTAGATAGATAGATAGATAGATAGATAGATAGATAGATAGATAGATAGATAGGCCTGATAAGCTGTCCGCAAAGCAATTGTTAATCGATGTAGTCTGGTTTATATGATTTCTAACGGATGAATCAGAAACGTCTTAGCTGCAAAATGCTTCACAGTATGTTGGCTATTATTCTCCTCTAATCGTGATGAGAAACTTTTATAACAACGGAATGCTTAGAAACCATGTATTTACATTTTTACATCGTTTTAAACTCATGGGAATTATTTTTTTACATTCTCTTTCATTTTTACTCCAATATTTAATATGAAATATCATTTCGTGAACTGTTCTGAATAGTTAGATATCATAACAGGACAAAGTACAATAAATTTCTTCATCAATTCAGAAGTTTTGTCGACAGCTTTATTTCTCTTTGTTATTTGCTTTGAATATTAGCCACGAATTAATCGGCTTACAGATGAAAGGTTTTCTTAATGCTACCACGTAAACCTTTGTTTACGCAATCTTGTTCCACTTCAATTCACATTAAAATATAAATAGTTTGTTCCAGCATTGACGAGGGAATTTTCTCTTTTACACTAACACACATATAATGGCAAAAGATTTCAAGGTTTACATAAGCAACAAACATTCGGCTAACAATTATGAACATGTCATCTCAACTTATTAACAATTTACGATATGTCTGTAAGATCTTTCAGTTACCTTATTTTACTTTTAAGTAAATTTTCCTTTTGCATGTTCACTTGTTTTATATTTATTTATCTTTAAATTAATCCCATAAAGAGATTTCAGCGGTGTATGGGAAGTTTCAGTTTTAAGACTGTTACACTTTTTTTAAAGATCGATATATAAGTTGTTAGTTTGTTTATGCAAACCAGAGCAAGATGGAATGTTTGAGATGCACTATCTATTCTATATTCATGTTGTCTACATATCTTCCTGTATCTATCTATCTATCTATCTATCTATCTATCTATCTATCTATCTATCTATCTACATTCCATTCATACAATATTTAATATGAAAAAAATAAGAAATATTTTTTCGTGAACAGTTCTGAATAGTTAGATATCTTAACAGAACCAAATGCAATAAATTTCTTCATGAATACAAAAGTGTTATCGATATTACATATAGCCATGAATTATTCGACTTGCAGATGAAACATGACCTGTACATTGACTGTATATATATAAGCGTTCATTCGTGAACATTTTCTTAATGCTATCACGTAAACTTTTGTTTACGCAATCTTGTTCCACTTCGTTTCACATTAAAATATAAATAGTTGGTTCCAGCATTGACGGAGAAGTGTTCACTTTTACACTAACACACATAAAATGTCTAAAGATTTCAAGGTGTATACAAGCCACAATCGTTCAGCTAACATTTATGAACATGTCATATAAACTTATTAACAATTTACAACATTTCTGTAAGATCTTTCAGTTGCCTTATTTCACTTTTAAGTAAATTCTCCTTTTGCATGTTAACCTGTTTTATATTCATTTATCTTTAAATTAATCAAATAGAGAGATTTCAAAAATCAGCGGTGTATGAGAAGTTTTAGTTTCGTACATTAAACTATCATCAGACTGTTTTACTCCTTTTTTTAAATATCGATATATAAGTTGTTGGTTGTTTATGCAAAGCAGAGCAAGGTGGAATGTTTTTGATGCACTATCTATTCTATATTTATGTTTTCTACATATCTTCATCTATCTATCTATCTATCTATCTATCTATCTATCTATCTATCTATCTATCTATCTATCTCAGTTTTGTTGATTATGAGAATATAAGCGATACATCACAGTTGGCATTCGACTAGAAGATGTTAAGAATTTAGTGCGCAGGAAAGTATCCGCTTGTAAGTAAATTCTCCGAATTAAATTCATTTACTATCCAAGGTACACGAATGGAATTTGAATAGTTAGTCTTGGTGTAAATGTCGTAGCGGTTTTCGCTGTGAAGTTCCGAACTGACGTATCTAGAGAATGTAACTCGTCAGAAAATATTTAATCATTTCATTTCACTTGTAAGTAAATTTTTTTAAGCGAGGAGCTTAGCATTATATCTTATTTCAAATAGGCGACTCAAACATGTCTTAGTTTCACAATAAACTGTTCTGAATAGTTAGGTATCTTAACAGAACCAAATGCAATAAATTTCGTAATCAATACAGAAGGTTTATTGACTGTATATATATAAGCGTTCATCCGTGAACATTTTCTTAATGCTATCACGTAAACTTTTGTTTACGCAATCTTGTTCCACTTTGTTTCACATTAAAATATCTTATATAAGTTGTTGGTTGTTTATGCAAAGCAGAGCAAGATGGAATGTTTTTGATGCACTATCTATTCTATATTCATGTTTTCTACAAGCTGTATCCTCTTGTTGACGCCACAAACCTTCGTCTAACTTTTATTGAATTCATTTACTATCCAAGGTACACGGATGGAATTTGAATAGTTAGTCTTGGTGTAATTGTCGTAGCGGTTTTCGCTTTGAAGTTCCGAACTGACGTATCTAGAGAATGTAACTCGTCAGAAAATATTTAATCATTTCATTTCACTTGTAAGTAAATTTTTTAAGTGAGGAGCTTAGCATTATATCTTATTTCAAATAGGCGACTCAAACATGTCTTAGTTTCACAATGCATTACTGTTGGTTGGCGATGATTCTACTCTAATCATACTGAGAAAATCTTAGAACAACCGAATTAAGCATGACTACATTTTTATATCGTTTTAAACTCATGGGGATTATTTTTTACATTCTCTTTCGTTTTTACTCCATTCATACAATGTGAAATAAGTTTTATCTATGCTTCTCTTTCGAAATTGCTTTGAATATTCGCCAAGAAATAATCGACTTCAGTAGAAACATGACCTGCACATGGTCTTTACATATAAGCGTTCATCCATGAAGGTTGACTTAATTCTATCACGTAAATTTTGTTTACGCAATCTTGTTCCACTTCACTTCACATTAAAATATAAGTAGTTCGAACATTCAAAGAGATGTGTTCTCTTTTATGCTAACAAACATAAAATAGCGAAAGTTTTTAAGGTTTACACAAGCCACAAACCGTCGTCTAACTTTTATTGACATGTCATCTGAACTTATTAACAAATTACGACATTTTCCGAAGGATCATTTACTTGCCTTTACTTGTACGTAAATTCTCTTTTTTGATGTTCACCTGTTTATGAACATGTCGCCTCAAATTATCAACAAAGTACGACATTGTCTGTAGGATATTTCAGTTGCCTTATTTCACTTTTAATACCATTTTTTTCATCTGTTTTATATTTATTTATCTTTAAATTAATCACATAAATAGATTTCACAGATCAGCGGTGCATGGGAAGTTTTAGTTTCAGGACTTAAGCTATTCTCATACTGTGTTACTCTTTTTTTTAGATCGATATATTATTTGTTGGTTGTTTATGCAAAGCAGATCAAGGTGGAATGGTTTTGTTGGTCTATCTAGTCTCTGTTCATGTTTTATACATATGTTCCTGGGTTTATCTATTTGTCTCTCTGTCTCTGTCTCTCTCTCTGTCTCTGTCTCTGTCTCTCTCTCTCTCTCTCTATATATATATATATATATATATATATATATATAGGTTTTGTTGATTATGAGAATGTAAGCGATACATAACAGTTGGCTTTTGCCTAGAAGACTTTAAGAATTTAGTGCGCAGGAAATTATCCTCTTGGAAAGAATTTTCCGAATGGAAATCATTTCGTAACCATGGCATACGAATGGAATTTGAACAGTTGGTCTTTGTGTAAATGTCATAGCGGTTTTAGTTGTGAAGATCCGAACTGGCTTATCTAGAGAATATAACTCGTCAGAAAATATTACATCCTTTCATTTCACTTGCAATTATATTGTATTAAGCTATGAGGTTTGGATTATATATTATTTCTAGTGGGCGACTCTGAAATGACTTAGCTGCATGATACTTTATTGGTTTTTGGCGATTATTTTCCTCTAATCGTGTTGAGAATTTATGAAATCAACTGAATGCTTACAAACCATGGAATTACCTTTTTACAGCATTTCAATAGATAGATAGATAGATAGATGTTTAGGACATAACAATAATGACTTACTGACACATTATCGACTTATTATTGAAGGGGCGTTCATCCGTGAAGATTGTTTCAATGCCACGAATTTCTTATTTTTTAAACAACACCTTTCCACTTGAATTCCCCTTAAATTACACGTTTCTGCAGGGGCGTCGCCGGACAGGAGTTCTCTTTTGAACGGACGTAGATAAAATTCCAAAAGATTTCAAGGATTACGCATGCAGCTAGCGTTCGGCTAAGATTTCTGAACAATTTATCTCCACTTATTAAGAAAGAACGACATTCTCTGTGGTAAGTTTTAATGGCATCATGTCTCTTCTGTTTAATTTACTGTCATGGGTCCTTACCTATAACTACAGAATGAACTCTTCCTAACACTATGTACACTACGCCTCTCAAGAGAGAAGGTCGAATCGAGTCGAGCCGATAGTAGTTCACTCCAAACCAGACTGAAAGTCATACTAACAACTTCCACATCTTGTATTATTATTTCGGGATATATACCTTCGTTATTTCTCCTCTTGTGTTCGTGTTGTTCTTCCTTGGTCCTAACCTGGACCATAACAGTGGCGACAAGAATATTGAAGAAACAAATTCTGCGCGGAGTATATATATATATATATATATATATATATATATATATATATATATATATATATATTTTTTATTTTTTATGTTTAACGTTGTTATTTTATAGATAAAAGAGTATTTAAAGCAAATTGTAGCTGTTTATGATAAACAGTATTAAATAACATTTACCGGCCTGAATGTCGAAATTTTCATAGAACGAAAATTTTCGTTCTTTGACATTTCGGCCTGTAAACCGTCATTTACGCTGACTGTTTATCATAAACAGAGCATTTGCTTAAATACTTGTATCTATAAAATAACAACGTTAAACATAAAAAATATGTCTTTAATAAATAAATTGTCGGACCTTGTCCATTTCTTAATATATATATATATATATGTATATAAAACAAACTTTTTTGATATCGGTCGTCCATAACAGAGGCGACGGAGATATTGGGTAAAAAAAATCCCCAAAAACACAAGTCCTACGCGAAGATAAAAGATAAAAACTTTTTGAACACCAACCATAACAGCGGTAACGAAGACACGAATTTTGCCTGTCGAATTCTACGCAGGAACATTATTTCGTACCAAGGTTCCAGAACAACAGACGACAAAGACCTGAAGTCAACACTGAGAAAAAAGTAAAAATCGTTACGTAAGTACACAACTCTAGCTCCAAAATACATATTGCGAAAAGAAAAAGTAAGGGGAAAAAGTGAGTTTTTCCTCCTCCTCTTCTCGTGACAACAGATAGCCTGTGTCATTATTAAATTACGGTGTAAACATGGAAGACTTTAAGTCAACCATATTGAAACTAATGAAAATGCAATTCGAGTAGCAAAAAAAAAAAAAATGAGGAAAGACAGACTAGGCTCGAAGAAATACAATTAGAAATTCAACAGGAAAACGAAGAAAAGCAACTCGAACTACAAGGATTATTACTACGGGCTTGTAACAAAAGGACAAAATTCTGAAAATGATGCGGCATTCTCGCAAAATGTTATATGGAGCTCACTCAAAGATTTCACTTATGCACCGGAGGAAGACAAAACCTTCGCGGCTTACTTCAGAAGATAGGAAGATTTATATGAGTTTGATTGCGGGAATTGGTCAAATGCGAAAAAAGTACGTCTAATACTGAGGAAACTAGGGTCAAGCGAATACACTAAATTCGTAGACTACATCCTACCGAGGAAAACGAATGAGTTGACTTTCAGAGAAGCTGTGAATCTCTTCACGGAATTATTTCGATCGAACACTTCACTATTCCACAAAAGGTGGAAATGTTTAAATTTGACAAAAAAGGATAGCGAAGACTATATAATATTCGCTTCCGTAGTAAACAAACACTTCGATGACTTTAAGTTATCTGAACTCAGCCCTGACAATTTTAAAAGTTTGATATTCGTCCAAGGCCTGGTTTCGACTAAAGATGCGGAGATCAGACGGATAATTCTAACAAAACCGACGCTACAAAAATTGGCTGAGGACTGTCAGAGATGTATAAGCGTAAAAAAAAGATTCGAAAGATATCGAAGAGACTGGCATCGCTCACATACGAAAAGTATGACAAACACGTTTTTTCTCCCTCCTCAAAAACAAACCAAACCAATTATTTTACTACAAAAAGTCAAATGAAACCTCAGAAGAAACCACCACCCAGTCCATGCTATCGCTGTGGGACAAATATTGTCCCTATCGCTATAAGATTTGTCTGTCGGGCAATAAATTGGGGCATAAAAGTTGGCACTGTAGAACAAAGAAAGAAAATAAAAGCCGAGTAAGAGTCACTAGAACTGACCAAGTGGACGGGATAAATATACAAAATAGGTACAAGTAGAAATGTTAAACAAAAAAATCAGATTACAATTAGATTCCGGATCAGATTTAACCATTATTAACTTATAGACGTGGAAGAAATTAAACAAACCGGCCATGTTGAGAACAGATAAAATAGCCAGGTCGGTAACAGGAAGAAAAATCAAATTTGAGGCGGAGATTATCACAAATGTGACGTTCAACAGGATGACCAAGAAATTAAAGATGTATTTTCTAAAAAATACGGAAAATTTATTTGGAATTGACTGGATGCAGAAATTTGACCTCTGGGAATTACAGATAAATACGTTCTGCCAAAAAGTGGAAAGGTTATCGACCGAGGCAGAGAAACTGAAGGAGAAATTAAAGGAGAGTTTCCCTGACGGATTTTCAACCGGCTTCGGAAGGTGTAAAAAATTGACGGCCAAAATCGAACTAAAAGAAAATGTACAACCCATTTTCAAGGAATAAAGAAATGTACCTTTCGCATCATTAGAAAAGATAGACGAAGAGTTAGATAGACTCCTGAAAACCGGTATATTGACAAAGGTGGAATATAGTCAATGGGCCTCACCTACGGTTTACATGAAAAAGAAATCCGGTGAGATACGAGTATGCGCTGATTTCTCGACGGGATTGAATGCAGCGATTAAGGATTATCACTATCATCTCCCGAGTCCAGAGGAAGTTTTCACAAAGTTGAACGGAGGAAAATTTTTCTCAAAAAATACACTTGAGCGAAGCATACCTACAAATACCAGTAGATGAGGAAAGCTCGAGATTGTTGTGCATAAACACATATAAAGGATTATACAAGTTCCAGAGATTACCATTCGGGATCAAGGTCGCGCCGGTGATATTTCAGCAAATAATGGACACTATGCTAGGCGGACTGGATTTCAAGATCGCATACCTGATAAATAGCAAAAATATTGAACAACACTGGGAACACATTCAAGAGGTTTTCAGACAGATACAAAATTACGGTTTTATGGTAAAGGAAAATAAATGTGACTTCTTTATGAAGGAGATAAAATATTTGAGTCATATTATTAACGAAGAAGGAAGAAGACCAACCCCAGAAAGAGCCACGGCAATAAAAAAAAAAATGCCGGCTCCAAAAAATTTAGCCGAGTTACAAAGCTTCTTGGGCTTAGTAACTTATTATCAAGAATTTATTTCTAACATGCACAAATTACGCACACCCCGAAACGAAATGTTGAAGAAGGAGAAAGTTTGGGAATGGTCATATGAATGTCAGAAAACTTTCGACAAAATCGCTAAGACTCTAACAGCAGATTTATTTTTAGCGCATTGTGATCCAAAATTGGAAATAATAGTCGCGAGTGACGCGAGTGCCTATGGTGTTGGGGCATGTAGACTTCATAAAATGCCAGATGGGACACTAAAACCCATCGCGCATGCGTCAAGAATGTTACTACCAGCCGAACAAAATAACTCGCAAATCGAAAAAGAAGCGCTGGGGATTATTTTTGCGATTACATGCTTCCACAGATATATTGACGGTAGATTTTTCACCTTGCAGACGGACCACAAGCCGTTACTAACAATATTTGGATCAAAGAAAGGTCTACCTGTCTACACTACTAATAGATTACTAAGATGGGGGACGAATTTATTAAATTATAAATTCAAATTGGAGTATCTTCCATCAAGCAAAATCGGGCATGCAGACGGTCTTTCTAGACTAATACCAAAGAAAATGGAGCCATTAGAAGATTCCGTAATTGTAGCTCTACGATATGAGGAAGATAATAGAAGATCATTATGTAGTACAATTCGAAACCTCCCCGTCACATTATAGGAAATAAGAAACGAAGCAGTGAATGACGAATATATAAAGGAAACGAAAACAAAAATTGCAGGAAAAGATAAGCATATATCAGACAGTTTTTTGTTATGCGATAATGATCTGCTATATAATGAAAGAGTAGTAACCCCGAAAACGCTACAAAGGCGAATCCTCAAGGATTTTCACATGGGCCATCCAGGAAAGAACAGGATGAAATCCTTAATGCGAAGTTACGTGTACTGGCCAAACATAGATCAAGATATTACAAATATGGTGGACAAATGCAAGGGCTGTTCCTTAGCAGCCAAGGCACCTTCAATCACTCATAAGCCATGGTCTAAGACAGATCGACCGTGGTCGAGAATCCATGTCGATTTCGCAGGTCCATTAGAGGGTTTCTACTACTTGATTGTAGTAGACAGTTACAGCAAATGGCCAGAAGTAACACATCAAATCTCCGCCATATCACCCAAAGTCGAACGGGCAAGAGGAGAGGTTTGTAGATACATTAAAAAGAGCACTATGGAAAGCGTATGACGTACCAACAGAAAAGGCTTTACAACAATTCTTGAAAGTGTATAGAATTACACCGAACAGTACTACGCCATCGGCATTATCGCCGGCGGAAGTAATGTTCGCCCGAAAAATTAGATCGGTATTCGACAAATTACTGCCAAAACAGACAAAGCAATCACCAACGTCGTTGGTACCAAAAAGAAAATTTAGTCCAGGGGAGAAAGTTTTTTGTTCAAAAACAACATATCCTATTGGGAGCCAGGTACAATAGAGAAACGAATCGGGAACGTGATTTACATAATTCAGGGTCCGAAGTTCTCGCATAAAAAGCACTTAGATCAGAAAGAGGCTGTTAGAGGATTCTACTGGTCTACCTCAGGAAGAGGAGGAAGTAATGGGCGCAATATTTGACACATTCAATATGCAAAGGCTTCAAGCATTTTCAGAACCGCGGAAATCAAGCAGAAAAAGAAAATTTACAGAGCCTTTGATGATTAATCCGAAGATGAAAAAACATTAAAGACCCCTGCGAGGTAAAAGCTTGGGAGGGGTTTGTCATGGGTCCTTACCTCTAAATACAGAATGAATTCTTCCTAACACTATACTACGCCTCTCAAGGGAGAGGGACGAATCGAGTCGAGCCGATGGTAGTTCACTCCAAACCAGACTCGCAGTCATACTAACACCTTCCACATCTTGTATTATTATTTCGTGTAATATACCTTCGTTATTTCTACTCTTGTGTTCCTGTTGTTCTTCCTCGGTCCTAACCTGGTCCATAACACTTACTCATTTTTAATCTTATTTATTTTTAAGTTTATGATACTTTTTTTCGTTTTTTCTTTCATTATTCACATAATCTATCTATCTATCTATCTATCTATCTATCTATCTATCTATCTATCAATCGATTGTGTGGATATGCAGAACATATAAATGTTGACATTAGACTTGAAGAGGTTGATAGTTTTAAATTTTTGCTTGGGTGTAATCTGTTATTATTAGGTTCATTGTGTGACGTTAACACTTGTTATTGATTCTGATGGTTCTCGCATTGAAGAGAAATGTCCATTTTCGTTGTGTATATTCATTTTACATGTTATCAAAAGAAGATATTTCCAAGCAATCAAGTTGACCGTATTAACCTGAATATATATATATATATATATATATATATATATATATATATATATATAAAAGATAAGCATGGCACAACACACGAATGTATACAACACATCAGTTGACTCAGAAAAAACTTGGTTCAGCTAAGTTGTTTAATAACTGAAGCATTTTAATCTCAAATTTTCTGTTCTAAAAAAAAAAACAAAAATGTCTTCAACTTTGCAAAAGTTGGAATGGGCGAGAAACCAGTGTTGAAGAGCTTCTGAAAACAAATCATGATAATGTTGAAAAGATTGTTCGTATCGAGTTGTGATATTACCACAAATCAGCTACCCTTACATTAAACAAAACTATAAACGCTGTTTTATGGACTAAAATATTTTCGTGATTTTGTTGTCAGTGAACGAAACTATTTGGTCTATCTTCTGCCAAAAGCTGTGGCTGTTGGACTCACAAGCGAGAAGGGAGCCTTGATAATGTCTATCTCTGGTGCAGTGTTGGCGTTTAGTCAAATGTTTGTTGGAATTCTTGCTGACTACATTCATATCCCTACAAGTTATCTTCTGATGTTTTCATTGTTTGGTATGTCTGTCAATTCTGCAGCCATGACATTTTGTCACTCATTCTCCTTGTTCCTCCTTTGCATATCGATCTTCGCCATTTGCAATGGTAAGTGTTGAGAAAATGAATCAAATTTATTGGTAATTTGTGTTTGATATTTTGAAGAGAAGGCGTAAATGATAAATATTCACGGTAAATTGTCTTGTCTTTTTACTCAATGCTCACTTAAATCTTTTGTTTCATTTTTTTTAATCGTTGAAACTGATTCTTTTGGGACATGCACGCCCATTACTAAATACAGATCATGCGCTTTTCATGCGTTTTTGTAACTTCAAATCTTATAATTCTTATCTTATCAATATCTACCATGTAATATAGGTATCTATGGTGGCGGTATTATGAGCACGATGGAATAGCAGTTTGTTTTAAATGACAAGTAACAGGAAGCAGTACTGAAGAATAAAATATTTAAAAGGATCAGAAACTGTACAATTTCGATCAGTAAGCCAAGCGTTAATATCAGTAATACATGAGAACCTCCGATTAGAAGGTAAACGCAAGAGTTGTGATTCTAGAAAGGGGCATAGACTCCAATTATGACCAGGAATAAACGCACAACAATGCTAAAGTTAAGAAATGAAACATTCATCTCAAGTATGTCTGAATTTACTGCAGCTGAAACGTCGGAGAACCTAGACAGAAAGTCACGGAAATTAGATTAAAAAAAGAAGTTCGACCCATTGATAATTTGTTTCTGATATTTATAGAGAAAGCGTTTTACTAATTCTGTTCATTTTTCGCTGCGAATTCTCTTTTCAGTTAGTGTTTATTCGAATGATTTCTTTTATCTTTTAATTGTTGAAACTGATTCTGTTGGAACTTGCATGTTCATTACTAAATTCCTAACATCCGTTCGTTATGCGTTTTTGTAACTTAAAATCTTATAATTCTTCTCTTATCAATAAATACTATGTCGTACAGAGATCTAGGGTGGCGGTATGAGGAGTAGATTTAAATATTGCTTACCTGACGCTTTTGAGCGCCAATCCGTTATATTCGATTTTTTAAATATATTTTGCTGTGGGACGAACAGAAAGGAAATATGAAATGGATGAATTAAGAAAATCAGTTCTCTTCTAGATTATCTTCTCGCATAGAGAGCGAAATTTGTGCTCTAAATTCCGCTTTTACCCGTTCCACTGAAAAGAATATATTATGGAACTCACGATGATCCCGTAATTACATAAATTTTATATCCTCTATCCATGGTAGAGAATATCTCATATTAATTCATACTTAATTCGTTCATTTGATGTCGCTTCTACCCGTTCCACTGAACAAGAGTGTATGATTGAAGTAACGATCATCACGTAATTAAATATCTTTTATATCCTTTGTTCATAGTAGAGGCTGTCTCATAATAATTCTTGTTAATATGGCATTTTAATGCCGCTTCTACTCGTTCTACTAAAGCGAAAGAATTAATACCTAGCATTTTTTAAGGAAACCTTTGCGCCAAGCCGTTTTTTGTTTTTGTTGTTGTTTTGGGGTTTTTTTTTTTGTTTTTTCTTGGAACGATCAGAAAAATTGAAATGGATTAATTAACAAAATCAATCTTCTAGGAGATTATCTTCTATCATCAACATCGAAAAGTGAATGGTCTACACCAGTGGACTGAATAAATTCAATTCAGGATTCATAGAGAAATACCGAATAAAACAGAAGACCGGAAGTGCATGTAACAATTAATATGAGAGAAAAAGATCAAATAAATCATTGAATAATAATATTTTGACACCTTAAAAATTCAAGCATAAAAACTTTCTCTTGTTTCACATGATTTTCTACTGCCTTTCGTGTCGTACATGTGGCTTCCATATTAGGAGTGAAAAACCTTAATAAGGGATATTCACCCCTTTGCCTTTTGATTTGTCTTGCTTACGTTATCTTTCCGATTATTGCAGGTAATTGAAATCATTTTCTTCAATTATTCAATTCTCTTCATCTATTTTGCATAATTGTCGTACTTTTTAATTGAATTTTTTAAAAAATAATTTAAAATATCTCCTTTTAAAATCTTATTAAGAATTTATTGATTTCTTTCCTTTGCAAAATTTACCAACATTCAGTAATAAATTAATTTAAGAGAAAAATATCTACTTGAAATTCGTTAAACTAAAAAATGTCTCCCTGAAATTCTTTACCGCCATTTCACGTTTCCGTACACTCGGCGAAGTTAAGCAACGTCGAGCATGGTCAACACCTAGATGGGTAATTACCTGGCAATTTTAAGCCGTGTTCCAATTCCAGTTGCATACGTTAGATTCACTTACGCACAAATACTCTTGGGAAAGGAATGACACCGTCTAATCACTGCCTGCATACATAAAAGGGAGCTCAGTCTACCGGATTGTGCAGGATGACCGTTAACACAGCAGGAATGGACACCCGTTTATGACAGGTACTTTAAAGCTGCTATGTGTCTAGCGACCGTCATCCTCAGAAAAGCCTACTAGTTATGCCACCGATAAACCAAACACGCTGAAGAAAGTAACATGTTCCATGGTAGCATTAGAATCCATAGATCTAACGTAAGATTGCTGTATAGAATTTAATAATCTGAGATGAAATATTGATATTTAGAAAGTAATTGTTATAGTTCAGAGAAAAAGATTGTTTATTCATCTGATTTACCATTTCAGGGGCATTATATGATGCAGCACACAGCCTTGATGATATCTTTTACTTTGGTGCCGGTTCTACAGGTTTGTCTTGCATCATTTCAAGTGGAATCATCTACAAGCAAATAAGAAGAAAATTCTACAAATAACAAGAGAAATTAATTTCTTTGATACAACGCACACCCTGGGTATTATCTTTTACATTGCTGCCGATGGTTTGTATTTGGCGTCCATCACTTGAACTGGAATCAGCGACATCAAACAAAGGGAGAAATTCTATGAGTAACGAGAGAAATTAATTTCTTTAAGGAAACCGACGCCCTTAATGCTACCTTAGCATTTATAGTCAATATTATCGTTAAATTGCATCATTTCAATTGAAATCACATACTTGTAACTGAAAAGGAAATTATACGAATAAATATAGACATTAATTGATAATTTTATATTTGCTTTTGCTTCTTTTTATATGTTTCAGTTACTGTTATGGTCCAGGTTAAGACCAAGGAAGAACAACACGAACACAAGAATAGAAATAACGAAGGTATATTACACGAAATTATAATACAAGATGTGGAAGGTGTTAGTATGACTGTCAGTCTGGTTTGGAGTGAACTACTATCGGCTCGACTCGATTCGTCCCTCTCTCTTGAGAGGCGTAGTATAGTGTTAGGAAGAATTCATTCTGTATTTAGAGGTAAGGACCCATGACAAACCCCTCCCAAACTTTTACCTCGCAGGGGTCTTTAATGTTTTTTCATCTTCGGATTAATCATCAAAGGCTCTGTAAATTTTCTTTTTCTGCTTGATTTCCGCGGTTCTGAAAATGCTTGAAGCCTTTGCATATTGAATGTGTCAAATATTGCGCCCATTACTTCCTCCTCTTCCTGAGGTAGACCAGTAGAATCCTCTAACAGCCTCTTTCTGATCTAAGTGCCTTTTATGCGAGTACTTTGGACCCTGAATTATGTAAATCACGTTCCCGATTCGTTTCTCTATTGTACCTGGCTCCCAATAGGATATGTTGTTTTTGAACAAAAAACTTTCTCCCCTGACTAAATTTTATTTTGGTACCAACGACGTTGGTGATTGCTTTGTCTGTTTTGGCAGTAATTTGTCGAATACCGATCTAATTTTTCGGGCGAACATCACTTCCGCCGGTGATAATGCCGATGGCGTAGTACTGTTCGGTGTAATTCTATACACTTGCAAGAATTGTTGTAAAGCCTTTTCTGTTGGTATGTCATAAGCTTTCCTTAGTGCTCTTTTTAATGTATCTACAAACCTCTCCGCTTGCCCGTTTGACCTTGGGTGATATGGCGGAGATTTGATGTGTTTCACCTGAAAAGTTACACAAAATTCTTGAAAATCTGCAGATGTAAATTGTGTTCCATTATTGGTGACTAAACAATCAACCACCCCGAAACGTGCAAACAGTTCGTGATGGCAATATACTGTCGTCTTAGAAGAAGGTTTTCTACAACGAAATTCTTCTGGCCATTTGCTGTATCTGTAGTTGAAACTCTCTAATGGACCAGCGAAATCTGCATGGATTCTCGACCACGGTCGATCTGTCTTAGGCCATGGCTTATGAGTGATCGGAGGTGCCTTGGCTGCTAAGGTACAGCCCTTGCATTTGTCCACCATATTTATAATATCTTGATCCATGTTTGGCCAGTACACGTAACTTCGCATTAAGGGTTTCATCCTGTTCTTTCCTGGGTGGCCCATGTGAAAATCCTTGACGATTCGCCTTTGTAAAGTTTTCGGGGTTACTCGTCTTTCATTATATAGCATAACATTATCACATAATGAAAAACTGTCTGATATATGCTTATCTTTTCCTGCAATTTTTGTTTTCGTATTCTTTATATATTCGTCATTCACTGCTTCGTTTCTTATTTCCTGTCATGTGACGGGAATGTTTCGAATTTTACTACATAATGATGCTCTAATATCTTCCTCGTATCGTAGAGCTGCAATTACGGAATCTTCTAATGGCTCCGTTTTCTTTTATGTTTCGCTTGAATCACTACAATCGGATTTATCGGCATTCTGCAAAAAAGTAAAATATATAAATAATCAGAGCAGTTAATTTGTTTGATAAAATACACCCCGTTTATTTTACAAGGAAAGCACGTAGCTAGCTTAAATGCAACTTAATTCTTACGAATTGTAATTATTTATGAAGTGCGAATTATTGGCTATGTATAGAGAAAATAGTTAAATAATTCACCGGGCCATGTTTGGCAGCAATATTCCAAACTTGGTAGACTTATAGATATGTAAGATAGAATCTGTAGAGAGAAATTGTCTCGCAGAACTCAGTGAACCTACTTTCTTAGTAGCTGAACTAGCAATGGATTCAATATAGTCTTTCCACTTTATGTCAGCTGAGAACGTTAAGCCAAAGAGGCGCAACGAGACACTTTCCTGGA